GCCGAGGCCGGGCGAGGCCGAGCAAAGCCGAGGCCACGCGGAGGGCCGAGGCGGAGACTGTGAGACTGTCGCGGCCAGAGGCGTGGCAGAGGCCGGAGGGATCTGCAAAGGATTCACCGAGTCCTTGGCGAGCATAATGTCCAGGACGGTCCGGGATGCCCCCCATCCATCAAACGACAGGCAGAGATAGACAGTTACACGGGCCCCGGCCGGCCTGCCCATGGCCTGGCCCGCCCCTTGGTCCGACCAAGACAGGCGCTTGACACTTCGGACCCGGATTCAATCCCGGGTTTTTCCTCCTCTTTTCTTCACTTTCTGAGTGGCCCCGGTGAGTTGCACCGTGGGCCAGAAGACCGGTGGAGGCGGGCAAACCTCTTGAAGCGTTTTGAGCTCTCAGCACGTTACTTGCATAAGTACTGACAAAATGAGCAAAAAGTCAATAACGTGCTGAGAGTGCAGAGTCGCTAAAAAAGGACTCGAACCGAACGTGTGACCCCACCAATGGATTGCTCTCCGAACGAGGAATCCATTGGTGGGGTCACACGTTCGGTTCGAGGTTTTGGCCGCCTTCACCGGTCGTCTGGCCCACTGTGAGTTGGTCGGAAACCATGATGTGGCCAGACGGTGCAAACAGGCAGGCGGCGCGGTCGCCAAACAGCTTGCGCGGTCTGGCCTGCTCACTCATGCCGTCGCTCTGTCTCTCTCGCACTCGCGGGGCGCTCCGTATGGGTGCGAGAGAGACAGAGCGACGACAGGGAAGCGACGCGCGCACCACTTTGGCGGGGGCGGCCGCCACTGAACTACGCAAACAAGTGGACGCGGGACGACGACGTACTCCGGCAGACAGTGTCTCTCTCGCACTCATGGGGCGCGCCGCAAGGGCCGCAAAGGCGCGAGAGAGACAGAGAGGGCAGAGCGAGACGCAGCGGCTAGAGGCAGGACGCGCGCACCCTCGGTGAAATTAGCGCTCCGAGGTAAACAGGCTAACTCGCCCTTCCGCACAATCTCGCACACACACACACACACACTCACACACTCTCACACACTCACAGACACAGACGGGACCTCACTTGAGCGCACACACACACACACACACACACACTGCACTGACTTCCGGCGTCGCGTGTACGGTCCTGTACACACGTCTCATCGTCGCACCTCTCCCTCAGGCATCCTAGGAGACCGGGCTAAATCGAAAAAGTACAACGGGTCAAGGCTTAAAACCTAAGTAGATAATTTTTTTCTTACTTTTTTTCTCTTAATTTTTGAATGTTTGCTGCACCGTAGCAGATGTCCAAACAACAACGACTTTCCCCTTCTGCCATTTCTTTTTCTTTTTCTAGTGACCGGGGAAGGCACCGGCACCGGCCGACGACGCGAGACGGACCGCTGCTGGCTTAGGTGCACCACAATGAGCAAACACACACCAACACACACAAACACGTCGACAGCTGTCCAGGTGACGCTGTGCAAACGGTGCGAACGGACAGCCAGTGCGGCTCCGTCTCCCTCGCACCCTCACGGGGAGCCCCGTGAGTGCGACAGAGACAGAGCGACGACACGACCCTTCTGCACCGCCCCGGCCATACCCCGCGCCGCCAGAGGCTCTGGCCGGCCGGGGCATCGCCGGCGAGGTCCAGCGCGTGGGGTATTGACGCAGCTTCCGCGGGCACGGCAGCGCGACGGACTTAATAGGTCAATTTGGATCCTATGGGAAAACGGTCGTCTGCGTCGTTGGTGTTCTGAGTAACGGCTGGGAAGGGGAAGGGGGCAATCTATAGACTGGGGGAAAATTTCATCTCAGTTAACACTACAAAAAATCAACCAAATTCAAGTTGGGTTCCACTTTACTGTTTTACCAGGGCAGTGTTTCAATTTGCGGTCGTGACATACACCACAGAGTCGGAATTTTGTCCGGAACAAAGTTGGCGAAAATGGTGGAGAGCTCGCAAGGGAGCCTACTGTGCTTGCCAGGCACGGAGGCCGGCGATGTTACCGGCCGAGCCGAGCCGAGCCGAGCCGAGCGGGAACGAGATGAGAAATTCCAGCGCCATCATCGCCGCGGGGGACGGAGGGACCCTCCTTGACCTTCTGTCTCTTTTCCGCATTTTCACTTTCCTTTTCCCTCTCCCTCGCGCCTCCATTTTCCGTTTATTTCTTTGATAAGAACGCAGCGGCTAGAAGTCCAAGGGGAAACACGTGTCAAAAATCATGCCTGTCAAAAACTTATAACACGAGAACAAGTTATCACCCATTTCCTTTTGGTGCCATCTTTTTCGTAGACGTTGATTCCGGTCTTTCAAATCTTGAAATTCTCAGGGGTTTTGAGCTCCAGAGTCACTAAATGGGACTCGAACCAAACGTGTGACCCCCACCAATGGATTGCTCTCCGAACGAGGAATCCATTGGAGGGGTCACACGTTTTGTTTGAGGCCTGTTTAGCGACTCTGGAGCTCAAAACGCGTCTAGAGTTTCGGCTGCCTCCACTGGTCTTCTGGCCCACTGTGCACTGGTCAACTGGACTGCAGGGAATCGTGAGAGAAAGAGTGGAGCTTCTGTCGGGGATCGAGTGCAGGTGCGTTCGCCGATTGCTCACCTCAAGGGTCGTATCACATCGGGCCGAGGCCTACGAATGGCTGCCATCTATGGAGTGAGCCGGTCCGGGCCGAGCCGAGCCGAGCCGGGCCGGAACGAACGAGCAGACGATAAATCGAACTCGAAATCGCGATGTGTTACGCAGGTTGGTTCCAAAAATGGGGCGTTTTTTCTTGGCTCCGTCTACTGGTGAGCCATTGCCCGGGGGCTGGACGGGCCGCCTGCCTGCCTGCCTGCCCCCTCGTCGGGGCATTCCCTGTGGGGCGAGACTGAACGGGGAGCACAAATCTCGATCTGTTGCGCGCTGCTCGCGCAATAATGGAATCCTCGTGTCGGACCGTGAAAAGTCGCGCACACGACTTTAGACAACACGGAAAATTCAGTACCTGGTTTTCGGCAGGAAACTCTCTGGAAATCGTTTATGTCTTGGCTGTCCCTGCGAAAACCAGAAACCGTAGTCGTAAAACTGCGGCCGGATAATCAGTCGAAAAATCAACCGGAAAATCACTGGAAAATTGACCGAAAAATCGATCAGAAAATCAACCGGAAATCGACCGCAAAATCAACTGCAAAATCGACCGGAAAATCAGTTGGAAAAGCAACAGGAAAATCGGCCTTGTTGGCATGAGCGTCGTTCGGCGGGCCGCAGGATGCCGTGCACGCAAGTACGGTCGCTGCGGCACCAATCAACTCACTGGAAATAATTGAACGAAAGTCAAATCCCGAAACCTGCCGGCACGCCCCGCCTGGCTCCGCCTGGCCGGCCACAGTCGCTCTAGGACATGCCGCCCATGTAATTGTCTGTTTAGTTTTGTTCCCCGCTGTTAAATCCTCAACTGCGTGTTCCACAAATGTTGCGTACTTCTCTCGCCGTCTTTTGTTTTTACTTCTTTTCCGTTGATTGGCTCAGCGTTTGATCGTGTGCGCCGCAGAATCTCTCTGTCGAAACGGATCCGGAAAACTGCCGCAAAAGCAGGACACGGCTTTTCCGGGCCCGTCGGTCGCCGACTTTTCCGGTTCAGTCCGGAATTTCTTCGGCGATCGTCGAAAGGCACCCGCCAATTTGGATGGCATGCCGCGGTTTGGACGGCCGCTGAAGGTGACTGGGAACGAGGCGCGCGCCGCGCACGCCGCGCACGGGGAGCACAGCCATTCAGCGATTCTGGGAGGGAGGTCTCTCTCTCTCTCTCTCTCTCTCTCTCTCTCTCTCTCTCTCTCTCTCTTCTCTCTCTCTCTCTCTCTCTCTCTCACACACACACACACTCTCTCTCTCTCTCGGGACGTGAGAGCGAGTGGGAGTGACACACACACACACACACACACACACACAGACAGAGAGACAGAGACAGACAGAGAGAGACAGAGAGAGAGACAGAGACAGACAGAGAGAGACAGAGAGACAGAGAGACAGAGATCCAGGGAATCAGTCTGCTGGCAGGCGTTCGAGACACCTCACACCGTTCTGGCCAGGGAGCGACGTTTTTGACGAGTCATGACTCGAGTTAAACACGACGACTAACTTGTGGAACTCGTAATCGTTCCTTGCACGCGCCTCGCCCCGGCAGGCCCGGCAGGCCCGGCAGTCGAATTTAGACTTTCGTCCCGTCTCTTCCCTTGAATTTGAGAGTCTGGCGCGGTTCAAGGCCCGCAGATCAAGCCCGACAAAAAGAAAAATATTTTTAAAAAATGCACGCGCTGCCAAAGTATCTAATCAGATGAAAACAAAAATTTCGAAGCCTTGCTGGGGGGCCGGTCCAACATTGACCCCAATTTTGGCACACTAAGGGGCCGATTGGCGCCAAGCAACGCCCTTAGCGTTATCGCGCAGCCATCGGTAAAGCAAGGCCTTCGCCCGCCTTGGAGCAGAGACGGCCGAGGCCCACCCTTCCCTTGCGTCTTTGAGAACGCACACGCCGTGGGCACGCCGACTGCAGCTTGTTGTTACTGTTGTTTGTTGATGTTATTTTCGTCGTCGTCGGCTGCACCAGTGGCCGATAGATGTTGCAGCATAACACGGCGACCGAAGGTGCGACCCGCAGCATGCGGGGGTGGTCCGCGCGCGCTGCCCTTTCACCCTCGCGTGTGTGTGTGTGTGTGTGTGTGTGTGTCTGTGTGTTGGTGAGTGAGTGCATGTGTGTGGTTTGCCGCACACGTCTCGCTCGTGTTATCACATTGGACCACACACTCACACACACACACACACACACATACACACACGAGCCCCCCCCTTTTTTCATACACACGTACACACATTCGACACTCACACTATCACAAACGCCCCGACACAGACACCTGGTGGTGGTGGGGGTTGCCGAATGGCGTTGGTTGTGGCTGTGCACGGCGTGGCCGGTGGCGGCCGGTGGCGGCCGCGGACCCCTACAGTGGCCCGCATGGCGGCCAGCGCGGCCAGTCGTACAGGCATGGCCCGCGAGTCGACAGCAACCTCCTCGAGCGCGGCTCTGTCCCCGGCGGCGTCGTCGTCGTCGGCCTCGGCGTGCTCGATGTCGCCCGGACGGCGGGGCCGCGGCGGCGCGCTGGCCGCCGTCGTGCTGGTCCTGCTGCTGCTGGGCGTGCTGCAGGCCGCGCAGGCCGCCGCCAGGATCCGCGACCTGGACGACGCCCTCGTCGGCGACATCAAGGACCTGAAGGACATCCGCGACAACCGGGTCCGGCCCGAGCAGGGCGGCCACAGCAAAGACGAGCTGCTGCTGGTGCACGTGGTGAGTGCGTGCGCTCTCGCGCCCAAACTTCCATTCATTCGCGCCCAAACTTCCATTCATTCGTGCCCAGACTTCCATTCATTCGCGCCCAAACTTCCATTCATTCGCGCCCAAACTTCCATTCATTCGCGCCCAAACTTCCATTCATTCGCGCCCAAACTTCCATTCATTCGCGCCCAGACTTCCATTCATTCGCGCCCAAACTTCCATTCATTCGCGCCCAAACTTCCATTCATTCGCGCCCAAACTCCCATTCATTCGCGCCCAAACTTCCATTCATTCGCGGACAAACTTCCATCAAACTTCCATTCATTCGCGGACAAACTTCCATCAAACTTCCATTCATTCGCGCCCAAACTTCCATTCATTCGCGCCCAAACTTCCATTCATTCGCGCCCAAACTTCCATTCATTCGCGGACAAACTTCCATCAAACTTCCATTCATTCGCGGACAAAAGTCCATTAAGTGGCGGACAAACTTCCATTCATTCGCGGACAAACTTCCAGTCATTTACTAAACTTGAATTCACTCACTTCGCTCTACTGACCAGACTTCCACTCATTAATCAGCTAAGGTCCCACTCACTGACCTGACCAAACCTCCTCTGATTGGCCAAACTTCCATTCATTAACCAAACAACTTTTCATTGGTAATACTTCTATTCATTAACCAAACTTCAATTCATTAACGAAACTTGCAATCATCGCGATTCAACAATTCATACATCAAACTTACCTTACCATTATTAATTCATCATGTGGCCGCATGTGGTCTGCGCTGGACCTTTTTCATTTGCCGGATTACCACCGATCGTGAAACTCGCCCCTTTCGTCGTCCAAACTTAACCGTGTTGAGCCACTCCGACGCGCTGTCTCTGTCTTGCCCGCGGCGTCCGCGCACCTTCCATCCCTGCTGCTCCCTGCCTGCTCGGTCGCATGGCCCAGGCATGGCCCGCTCACCGGTGCAGCCGTCACTCAAAGCCAAGGCCCGCGCGAGTCTCTGTCGCACTCGCGGGGCGGGCCGCGGCGCGCGGTGGGTGCGACAGAGACGGAGGCCGCGCCCGGCCACGGTCCAGTAGAGGCCCATTGTGCTGGACGTGAGTGGGCGGGCCGGGGCGGGCCGGGGCGGCCGGAGGCAGCGGGTACTTTGCGGCTGGATTCCGACTCACTGTGTGTTTTGCGCTCCGCCTTTTCGAACCGACGACGGCTTCATTCGCGGACTGTGGCGAATCGAGAGGATCGAAAGAATCGAGAGGATCGAGCATAAAGGATGAACCGCGAGATTTGAGCCAACCTTGCACATTCCTGCGCGTGCGCGCGTTCATGCGTGCGCTGTGTGTGTGTGTGTGTGTGTGTGTTGTGTGTGTGTGTGTGTGTGTGTTCGTGTGCATGTGTCCATGTACGTGTGTGTGTGTGTGTGTGTGTGTGACAGGTATTATCACTCTCGTGATAGTGAGAGTGTGAACCCGTCCCTAATTAGATTCTCGGAGTAGTTCATGTCTAGAGATTGTGACGTCTGGCCAAAGTTCGGCGCGTTGTCGAGAGTTTCAGTATTGTGCTCGTTTTTAGGTTGGGGAAGTCACGCGCGCGCTTCGAACCGAGTGAGAGAGGATGGGGAGCCTCTGTCGTGGCGATTGGGTTAGGCCCATAACTAGCAGTGTCGGTACGGAGCCGACTGGGGGAAAGAGAGACAGAGAGAGGAGAACTGTCCCCCGATAACAAGAAGGAGAGGGAGAGGAACAAGGAAGAAGAGGGACGAAAACGATGCGCCATGCACAAACTATTCAGTTGTTCGAACAGCCCATTGACAGGCAGACGACTCGCCCGCGCGTCTGTCTGTCTGTCTATCTGTTTGTCTGTCTGTCTGTCTGTCTGTCTGTCTGTCTGTCTGTCTGTTTGTCTGTCTGTCTGTCTGTCTGTCCGCCTGCCCGATCGGGTAAACACGAATGTAGTCCAGTACACTACCCCTGATGGGGCACCACGGGTTCTCGCAGGTAGTTGGTTAGTGTACCTCAGTCAACCACGAGCGCGCGCGGCGAAGGACGACTTGCACTTTTTGCAGCCTGCACTGTGCGACTCCAAATTCGGGACGAGTCATTCCAATAATAATTTTGCAGCGTTAAAATTCACACGATCGGGGGAAAAAAGTGAAAATTAATCAAAGCCCTGGCGGAATTAAACGGATGGTATCAAAATTGAGGGCATCATGAGATTTTGGTTCTTCGGTCGAAACCCGCGTACTTAGCAAAATTCGATTTTAGAATCTGCGTCGAATTTCACTCTTATTGCCACACGCCACCAAACAAACACAAACACAAACAAACAAAAACACACGCGTGTTGTTCTGTTCCTTCTTTTACCAGTCTACCTGACGGCGCGCTGTTGTTGGCCCGCTTGACTCGCGGCTCCGCTCGGCGGGCTTGGCCGGTCGCTCAGCGGGCTCGTTGGAGGTTCGTGCCCCCCGCTATCGTGCACGCTAATTCCTCCCCCGCGGGCGTGATGGTTCGATGTCTCGATGCCTGTCTCGATGCCTGTCTCGATGGCGCGGCGATCGCGCCGACAGTTTCCACGGAGAATCGGCGCGATAAAGATATCGGCTACAGGGGCGTCCCGCGACTCGCCCTCCTGATGACGGACGTGGCGCGTGCCGGCCGGCAGTCGCGCCAACCTACTGCACTGCGAAAAAAAGAGAGAAAAAAGGGGGAAAAAGAAAAAAAAGGAGAAAAGCAGAAACGGAGAAGAAAGAAAAAGATCGGATTGTGTATCAGCCGATTCGGGCCCGCTCGTATTTTCGGAGAGTTGCTGCCATTTTCGTCGTGACGGCGCGGCACACTGTATTGTGCGTTTTAATGTGACAAAAAAGGACCGCAATGCGCGCTTATCGACGCTCGGAATCAAAACAGGGTGCGAAGAAGCGGACGAAAAAAGAAAAAGATGACCAGGAAAAACCTGGTAGTAGGCTCTAGAGATAAGGAAGTAATCGAAGTCATGCACCAACTCAAATAGTTCATCACGACCAACCAGACTACATCCTGAAAATAAGTGCCTGAAAACAACACTCGCAGCTCGTTACTTATTTTAGTCGGTAAATTTCTTAAAAATTCGTAAGCGGTTCTTCACAAGACACAAGAAAACGTGATACGATTGCACAAATAACTTGTAAAACTAAAGAACAAGCTGAGCAAAAAATCCGTTTTAACGCGCTGAAAGAAAGGTGGTTCTTGGCGGCACTCAGACAAAAGCTTGTCATTCGTTACTGCGATTCGAGATTGAGGGATTTCCTCTTCTCAGAGTCATGATCAGCACTTGGCTTGCCAACACCTGCCGTCGCCCCACCTGACTTGACAGGCGAGGTGTTTGCGTTCAGGTGCTCTGCTCTTCTTTGTCGTTCTTTGCGGCGCGGAGTGAGTACACACAGACACTCCGTGTGCACCTCGGTGTGCACTCTGTGTGCCGTCGGGGCAATTAGAAGCTACACTGCCAAGTCGCAATGCGCGCAGCGAGCTCGTCTGTCTGTCTGTCTGTCTGTCCATCTAATTGGTAACATCGAATCACCGAAACGACGGCCAGCCGAGGAAACCGCACGGGTGCACGCACCACACACACACACACACACACACACACACACACACACACACACACACACACACACACACACACACACACACACACACACACACACACACACACACACACACGTGCGCAAGCACGTGCGCGATACAGACTTGTCCAAAATGTGTGAGAAAGAGAATGTGCATGTGTGTGTGCGTGAGTGTCGGAGTATCTCGTTCAGTCCAGCCGCAGCCGACAGTCGTCTTTTGCACGTTGCCTAGACACCGCGTCGTCTGGCGATGACGCAACGTCACGACGTAAACTTTGACATCTCCCCCTCCTCTCACCCCTCCGCCGCTCGACAGTCGTCGACACCCCCACGCCCGTGTCTCGTGATAAGCGGCTCGAACCGTGTCCGGCAGCTCAATGAGTTTGCATCACTCCACGCGACGCGCCCGCCGCGACTACAGCCCCCCCCCCCCTCCCCCTCGGGGGTTCCCGCCGCACCAAGCAGCACCAAGCAGCACCCCGACCCCGGCAACGCCAGTGCAACGCCACTGTCTGAAAACCGAGACAGCCCGGCAGACTGCTTCCGAGTAAAAGTGGCTTTTTTTGGGGTGTGTCTCGCTCGCTGTTCTCACGCACTGCTGGCCAGAGACACCAGAGGACCGCAGCGGCGCCAAATTTCTTGACGCGTTTTGAGCTCCAGAGTCGCTGATTGGGACTCGAACCGAACCTGTGACCCCCACCAATGGACTACTCTCCGAACGAGGATTCGATTGGTGGGGTCACACGTTCGCTTCGAGTCCTGTTTAGCGACTCTGGAGCTCAAAATTCGTCTCGAGTTTGGGCCGCGCGGTCTTCTGGCAAATCCACTGTGTCGCTTGGCGTTCCGCAGGGCGGCAGAGAAAGATAGACAGACCGTGGCGGAATCGGCGGGCAGAGCGTCTGGCACGACGGGGCGCGATATTGGGTCCAAACGCGGAAGCAGAACGAAAGAGGGGGGGAGGGCACGTGCCTCAGCGACGAAAGTGTACCATGGCCAGGGGTGTGGACCACCGCCTGAAAAAATGGACAAACACAGTTCGAGAGAAACGAAACTAGCAGGGAAAGTGGCAGGGCAAAGGGGAAGCTGATGGGGGATGGTGGGTGGGGGAGGGGTGCTGGAGAAAGGCGTCGCAACGCGTCGCGCATACCTGCGTGGAACATCACCCCGCACACACACACGAACAACGCTCTCACACACACACTCACACACAGAGAGATATGACCGCACAGCACGGGCGACCGCACGCGGTGAATGTGTGGTATTTGGATTCTGGCCATTCTGGCTCGCGCTAGTTCGGACTGGTCCGGGGCTGGGCGTGCCACCGGGGCGCGGCGCGGCGGGGCGGGGCGGGGCGCAGCGGGGCGTGGCGCGGCGGGGCGGGGCACCGCTGGACCAGACAGAACACGCGAGTGCTCGCGACCGGAGGTCACGCCCTGCTCTGGACGGTGGCTCAACTGCGCACCTAACTGAACCACCCCCTTTTCCGAATCCCCTCCCCCCAATCCCACCTAACTGGACTTTCCCTCAGCAAAGTCCCAAAACCCTTGTCTGTCTTCAATATCCACGTGACTAGCGGTGCTCCAACCACTCCGACCCAACTAAAAGACCTAACCCTTTTGAAAGTCCACTGCGCCCCTGCACAGTAAATGTCTTACGGTGAAAGGCTGCACCTACATAATATGGTGGAGATTTTCTCCATAATACCAACGAAATTCGTGAAAATCTCCATAAGGTACAGTGAATTCTCGATGGCATGTTACGAAGTCAGCTGCACCACCATAATATGGAACATTTTCACCATAATATGGAGAATCTTCACTGTAGAACATTTAGAGTGTGGCATGCCTTGTGCAATTCAAGTCGCAGAGGCGAGGCGATTTCTTCACCCTGACTGGTGGCGTCGCCGCGCCGCCGTCTGCGGAATTGAAAAATTATTGCGAATATGAAAACACCCCAAGATTATTGACCTGGGAATGGTCAGTGGAAAATAACGACACCAGCGCGGGGCAGTTTTGTTGTTGCTTTTTTAGTCGCCTTTTTCTTCGTCGCGAAAGAAAAAAAGAGCAAAAATCGGGGCAATCTAATTCGGGCCGTCGAAACGGGAGCCGTGCTGTAACCCGGTTGAAATTTTCCACAACGGTCGTGCACCAGTTTTTTCCGACAAGCGGGGGCCGGTGGGGGTTATCGCCGAGAGGACAATTGCAGGCAGGGCTGAGACGGCTGAGACAGAGACCGCTCGATGATGAGGGTTCAAAAGAGACAGAAGACCGCGGCGTGCCCGATCAATTTAGCTCGCCGGCTATTTCAGATTGCGATACGGGATTCTCGGGACGGATTTATTTTTAAGAAAGGCAGCAAGGGACTTCCTCGCGCCTCGACTCAGTTTAACGAGGCTAACTCGCTGCAATTATCATCAATTGCGGCCCGGCTCATTCGTCTAGACACGCAGCCGTCAAAATAGAGCAAATAAATCGAAACGCGCTATCGGCCTATCGAAGCGTTTCCCCACCAAAACGACGTCCCCGTTGGCTATCGCTATTCCTTGAAACTTTGATACAACCGTTTTCCTTTTCCCTTCCCAAATTATCACTTCCTCTAGCGATACACGCGGAATCAAATTTTCCATCACTCACTGTCGTTTTCTTCTCTGTGCAGATGTTCCGGCACGGTGACAGAACCCCGGACCCGCCCACCTACCCCACGGACCCCTACGGCAATTTCTCATACTTCCCCTTCGGCTGGGGAAACCTTACTCCGGTAAGTCCGAGGACCTCAGCAGCGCTCGCCAGCGCCGTTCTAACCTCCACTAACCTCAAAATGGTCCCAGGCCGGCCGCCGCACGGAGTTCCGTCTGGGCAAGTTCCTCCGGCAGCGCTACGAGGACTTCCTCGGCAGCTACCGGTCCGGCGTCGTGTACGCGCGCACCACGGACTGGCCGCGCACCAAGGACTCCATGGCCCTGGTGCTGGCCGGCCTGTTCCCGCCCGCCAAGCAGAACGTGTGGGGCCACGACGGCGAGGACCTGGGCTACCACTGGATGCCCATCCCCGCCGACACCAAGCCCAGGGACCAGGACAAGGTGCGTGCCCCGACAGCGGCGCGGCGCGGTGGAGGCGGTCAAAATCCCTTGACGCGTTTTGAGCTCCAGAGAAGCTAAGTGGGACGCGTGTGACCCCACCGATGGACTCCTCGTTCGGAGAGCAATCCATTGGTGGGGTCACGCGCTCGGTTCGAGTCCTGTTTAGCGTCTCTGCAGCTCAAAACGCGTCCAGAGTTTTGGCCGCCGGCGCCGGTCTTTTGGCCCACTGTGAACGCCGAGTCCGACTAACCTCAAAGCGCCGCCGTCCCTGACGCCATTGTCCGTTGCAGCTCCTCTACATGTGGGACGTGCCCTGCCCCGCGTATGACAAGGAGTTCCAGGACGTCCTGGCCTCCCAGACCTTCCAGAAGCAATTCCGCGGCAGCAACGAGCAGCTCATCAACTACCTGCAGAAGTACTCCGGGGCCCAGATCAACACGCCGGAGGACGTGTACAACATCTACCAGGCTCTGCTGGGTCAGGTGAGCAGTGCGGCGACGCGACGGAGGAGTCACGGGTTCGACCACCACCCCAGCAATCATGAATTTCGCATGCCTTGCCTAGCGAGAAACCGTTTGCTGAGAACGTCAGGGCGCGACTCGGAATCTATTTCTGGTCCGCTTTTCCTTCGAGACAAACATGCAACGGCATTCCGTCGGCAGTGCCACACCGCCAGTGCACGCCGCGGAGGTGTGACGTGTGATAACGGAGAGAGAGAGAGAGAGAGAGAGAGAGAGAGAGAGAGAGAGAGAGAGAATGCCACCCACGCGGATGCAGAGTGCCACCAGTTGCGCTCTCTCTCTCTTTCTCTCTCTCTCTCTCCCTCCCTCCCTTTCTCTCATCTCTCTCTCTTCTCTCTCTCTGTCCCTCCCCCTCCCTCTCCCTCTCCCACTCCGTTTTCGTTTTCAATTGAGTCTCGATGTTTCACAGAGCGGGTTCAACCTGACGCTGCCGCACTGGACCAAAGAGGTCTTCCCTGACAAGATGAAGCCCCTCACCGCCCTCTACTTCGAGGTGGACTCGTGGACCCGGAAAATGCAGCGCCTGCGGGCAGGTGAGACAGAGAAAAAGAAATAGGAATCGGGGCGGGCGCGAACTTCAAACTGCAGAGGAAATGTCAAACACACGGTTCGCGGCGAGGTAGGCAACCCAACGCGCTTTGGACGGGAGCGCGATGGAGTGCGTTGGGTTGCCTACCCTGTCGGCGAAGTTTGCCGGCGTTGCACAGTGGGCCACAAGACGGGCGGAGTCGGTCAAAGTTCTGGACGCGTTTTGAGCTACAGTGTCGCTAAACAGGACTCGAACCGAACGTGTGACCCCATCAATGGATTCCTCGTTCAAAGAGCAATCCGTTGGTGGGGCGACACGTTTCAATCGAGTCCCATTTAGCGACTCTGGAGCTCAAACCGCGCCTGCACCGGTCTTCTTGCCCACTGTGCACTGTGCGTTGCTCACCGTCGCGCTGTCCCACCACAGGCCCGCTGCTGAAGCGCATCCTGCACACGTCGGTGTCGCGCGCCGAGTTCCCGGACCGCAAGCTGTACCTGTACGCCGCGCACGACAACAACGTCTCCGCCTTGCTGCGCGCGCTGCAGGTGTGGCAGTCGTCGCTGCCGCCCTACGGCACGGCCATCATCGTGGAGGTCAGGAAGAAGGCCGGCCAGGTCGGAGTCCAGGTCAGTACAGTCGCCATTGTCCGACACCCGGAAGTGGGGCACGGCCGTCGCTCTGTTCCTCTCGCACCCCAACGGCACGGCCCGTGAGTGCGAGAGAGACAGAGCGGTGGCACTTGCGCGGCCGAAGCACTGTTGGGAATCGCCGGCCAGACGGTGTTTATCGGGACCCGCCTCAAAGATCACGTCGGGGAAAAAACAATGACCGGAGGCAAGGGTCGAACTCGCTACCTGTCGCGTCAGAGACACTTGTCTTATCCGCGTGGCTACGGCTCGCGATCGTTTGCCGGTGTGCACCGCCGCAGCGGCGGAGCGATGGCAGAAGGGAATGACCGGCTGGCGATACCCCACGAGCGGAGGGCAAGCGGCCCAGTGTCTCTGGCGCAAAGAGTAGCGGCGCCGCCTCGGCCGCTGTGGCGTGTACTACGCCTGCCTTCGTCGCTCCTCTCTCTCTCTCTCTCTCTCTCTCTCGCACATGAGTCCGACGGAGACAGCGACACAACGCCCGCCGGGTGGGCAACCTAATCGCCACTGGTGTGTGCATTGCAACCATCGCACAGTGGGCTAGAAGACCGGTGGAATCCTTGATGCATTTTGAGGTCTATAGTCTCTATGTGACTCGAACAGAACGTGTGACCCCACCCATGGATTCCTCGTTCGGAGAGCAATCCATTGGTGGGATCACACGTTCGGTTCGAGTCCCATTTGGCGACTCTGGAGCTCACAACGCGTCTAGAGTTTTGGCCGCTTCCACCGGTGTTCTGGCCCACTGTGCGCATACGTCGATTAATCGGCGTTGTTTCGATTGCCGATTACGGAGCATCGTATCGGTCGGCTTTTCCATTATTTTAGTAATCGGTCGATTTCGATTTTGACCAATAATCGCACAGGCCTAGATTCACCGAGGGCGAACCAAAGCCATGGTCTTTCCGCGGCACCTCTCTAACGTGCTCTTTCGCCTGTCTGCAGCTGTTCATGAGAAACTCGACGGCCACGGACGACCTGCACAGCCTGACGCTGCCGAACTGCGAGCACTTCTGCCCGCTGCACCGCTTCGTCAAGCTCACCGAGGAAGTCATCCCGGACGACTGGGAGGCGGAGTGCAAGAGCTAGGCGCAGCGGAGCCATGGCGTTGCCGAGCAGCGGAGTTAGTTTTAAGATTCAGGCTGTGAGATTCGCGGCGCTGTTAGAGGTTTCTTGTGGCCGACGACGACTATTTTGTACAGCCAAAAGAGAAATTGTTCTTGTTTTGCGTTTGGGATCAAACATTTTCGGTCGAACCGGCGGATTTGTACAGCTGGTTCCTCAAGAAACTTTTAACAGGGTTGGGGTGGGGTGGGGGGTCCGGTGAGATCGCCGCAAGTTAATTTTGTGTAAGGGGCAGCGAGGCTTCGGGGGCGTCCCATAGCGAGGTGTGGAAAACGATCCTTGTTTCCAGGCTATGTATGGATGAGCCGTGCAAAAAGTACCTCATCGTTTTCGGACGCCCCCGTGTCACTTCTACAGTATTCCGAGTTTTGACCGCGGGCCGGTCGCTGGTCAGATCCACATTCACGTCCACATTTTCATCGCGCCTCCCTTGTTGTGTTCGCTCTTCCCATTAGCGTAGAGGTCTGAAGACATTTCGGCTCTTCAAACTCATCGTCCACGCTAGCTGGATTCTAGCGTTGGTCCGAACGGTCAGGTCACCGAGTGACGCCTTAATCAAGTCATTGTGATTCATTCACAGCGTCACTTCAGTTTCATCCATGTCAACTATTTAATTTTAACTGGTCACAGTTACGATGGCCACTTACTTCCTTCTAGTTTTACGTTATTCTCGAATTATATTATTTATCAACCACACCGGGGCGTTTCACTTTAAACCCTTCCTTCCTCCGCACCAGTAAATCACAGAAAAAAAACAGGAAATTTAAAAGAATAAGGATCCAGAAGGACTTGACTGTTTTTTTTTAAATGCATGTCATTTACTGCAAATCACTACAATTTACTACAATGCATGCCATTTACTACGATTTACTACAAATACTACAAATAAATATTGTACAAAAAGTAAAAAAAACAGGCAATGGGATTGCAGCAACCTGGTTGTTATTCCTCGGATGCACTTGATGCTATGATGTACGTCGTGTCTTCGGGCGTTGTGTCGTCAGACGGTGTGTCCTCAGACGGCGTGTCCGCTGGTGTTGGCGGCGTCCGTGGTGGCCTGGTGACGTCGGGCTCCGGGGTGACGGTGACGTACTCGGTGGTGGTGGACGGCAGGCCCGGTCGCGGGTCGCAGTGGCTGAGCTCCGGCCAGTCGCAGTACTGCTTCTCGTAGTTGAAGTACAGCCCGGCGGGGCACGACATGACCGTCTCCCTGGGGCCGTCGCACACGATGAACCTGCGGAAAAACAACAACATTCAGATGACGAGTTTGTTGTTGTTGCTTTCGCCTTTATGCCGTTTCAGCTGCATGTGTTTGCCATGCATGTGCACTGAATGGGTCCGTGTTTTCTTCCCATTGTCAACAACTCCGATACTACAACGGCTCGAACAGAATCCGCACAATCCCAAGATTCAAAGGTAAAACTTGTAAAAGTGGGTTCACTCACCGGGTACAAGTGATAGGGTCGATGATCATGAGGTAGTCGTTCTTCTCGGGGCGCTCGGCGCACGAGGCCGGCATGGTGGGCGGGATGTCGGTGGGCTTGGTGTAGGGCGTCTCCGTGGTGGGCTCCACCACGGCCCAGGACCCTCGCCTTGGGAGGAGTCCGCCTGGCAGGGCGGACGCGGCGGCCACCAGGAGGCACAGGGTGACGAGGAGGTGTCCTGGGGGAAGCAGATACTATTAACAACAAGGCCCAGGCCTGCAGACAAGATGGCACCGAGGTTGTCTCTGAGGCTGCCTGGCCTCCAGGCGCCGAGGCCTGTTCGACCCTCAGGTCATACACTCTGACAACCTTGCAAACTAGTTAGGCCTTGCAAAGAAAAGCAGATCGTTATAACGAAGTATTTTGAGCATACATAGGCTTACAAAGAAATTACTGCGTAATTCACGAACGATTTCTTCGTGTAACAAAGTAAATTAGTTTGTACTATGTATGCTCAAAATACTTCGTAAGGTTCCAAGCCGGTAACACAGAGCCAACAAAATTATAAACGAAAGCTGGAACCTTAGCACAGACTGCAGGTCATTGTCCACGAAGCTAGAAGAAGAATCTCGAACTTCGGCTCAGGCTACAGGCCATTGCCGATAGACTTAGAAAAAAAATCTCGATCCGCAGCGCAGGCTGCGGGCCAGGCTTACCTGTCATGTTGAGGCGAGCTGCTTGACTGATACAGCCAGCAGGGCTCCTGAATCTGTATTTATGGCGCGATGCCTTATCTCTAGTTTCCGGCTAGGTGCGGCGAATATCGAAGGATTACAGTATTTGCGTCGCCAGAGAGACACTCCGTGAGTGTGTGTGAGTACGTGGGTGTGTGCGTGCGTGTGTTAGAGAGAGGGGGGAGTCAATGTGGGTGCTCGTGAGTTGGATGACGACTTACGTGAGTTCAATTTCCTATAGAGTACCCATGTGTAGCGAAACTAATATACAGACATGCAGTAGAAAGCATTTTGCGTAGTATCAAACAAGCGCATCTCGCCTTGGGCTTCAACAATTAAAATTTTCGTTTGCATTCATTTAAAGAATTTTTTTAAATACCCTTGTAAAACTTTTATTTTCTCGCTAGAAAAGGGTAGGGCCAACTTTGATCAACACTCAGCTGTTCCCCTTTGTTTCAATCACCTCGTGTTTTAATCCCTTAATCCTCCGACCTACACCCTGACAGATAAGACATCGATGACGTCGATGGCGGTTGTCAAAGACGAAACTCGTCCTGCTTGCTGCACGTCAATGATCGACCAAAATGGGCGTTCTTGGAACGGCCCCATTCAATGCCGTCAATCGCGGCAATCTCAATTAAGTGCGGACCCAGGAATAAAATTCACTTGAGACGTTCCCGGTCAGGAAAACAGTACGCAGACCACTGCTTCAGAATGCGGCGCTACCAAATCCGATCGTCTTCGGCAAGTAAGAGCCGTCGGGCATGGACCTAGGATGGGACGGGCAAGCAATGCCCAGGTCAAATAAACTAAAAGCCACAATCTTATTTCCTTTGACACAAGTGGTTTACAATTAAGGGGCTGCTCTCTTTTTGTTGAAATGAGGTAGCTAATATATTCGACCGATTTGCTGTCTTTATTTTTCCACAGTGATGTACCAGCAGAAACTGCCTGGACGGGAAAAGTGTGTGGCGTTGACTAACTCCCAGGGAGTCCTCGAAGCTTGTGGGGGCTGCATCCACCCTCCCTGGATAAGCCCTCGCGTGCAAGCGCACTATCGTCCACTTGCATTCGACTGCCTTCACTTCTGGTGGGTCACATTTTATCTCTGGCCAGGTGGTCGTTTAGTAATCTGCGCGGTTTGATAATGGAGAAGCGCCTCAAGTCGAATGACAGTTAGTGCCGGGCAGCCGCGTGGACAACATGACCGGTGAGTGTGGCGTTCACTCGGACAGGTGACGGCTTCGTGCTCGTCAGTGTCACACGATCCCACAGAGCAACTAACTTGACTTATTTGGCACGATCGAAAGATGGGCCACCAGCCGCACCGTTTCAAAAGGGTCCCAATAAAATAGCCTTGGTTTTCTGACATTTTTCCGAGAAAGTTGAAGTGCGCCGTTTTTCCTTCCCCGCTCACGGCAATCAAGCGCACCGCATACCGATACGCACAGATAGTGCGCACCTCTGCGCCCATTTCCTCTTTCGTTCCTCGTTTGATAAGTGTCGCACACTTTGTAGCGGACCGGCTATTCCCCGCTGGATGACGATGACCTGCCTGCCGAGGAGAGGCGCCTGAAACGTGTTTTGGCGTTCCCAGGCCAGTCGGTGTTGCTGTGCCTGCTCGCCCTCGCCGCCCTGGTCCAGGTCCAGGGCTCGCCACTGCAGCGGTTGAAGGCGGAGCTCTGCATCCCCGTACCGCAGTGCACAGCCAAGGAGCGCATCCCCATCCCCTGCGAGGGCTTCTGTGCCACCTTCTTCGAGTGCGAGGAGGCAGGCGCCACGGCGTACCAGACCACATGCCCGCTGTGCGTATCACCTTGGAAAGATTTTCGGTCGACTCAAATTAAAATTAATAGTCTAATCAAGCAAATGTTTTGTTTTGAAGGAGTTTTTTTGGAACGTGGTTTGACCCCGTCACGAGAAAATGTGCATCACACTGGACCAAGGATTGCGACTGGTACAAGAGGTTGACAACAGCGAGTCCAACAACGCCCGAACCCACGACAGAGGCGTCGACAAGCGCCCCAACCGAAGCCCCAACCGAAGCCCCAACCGAAGCTACGACCGAAGCCCCAACCGAAGCCCCGACTGATGCTCCGACAACTGAAGCCGTCACAACCGGTAAAACTAAAAACCACCATCATGACGAGGACGATGATGATGACAGTGATGAGGATAGTGATGAGGATAGTGATGAGGATAGTGATGAGGATAGTGATGAGGATAGTGATGAGGATAGTGATGAGGATAGTGATGAGGATAGTGATGAGGATAGTGATGAGAGTGATGAGGATAGTGATGAGGATAGTGATGAGGATAGTGATGAGGATAGTGATGATGATAGTGACGACGACGATGATGACGATGATAACGATGACGATGAACTATCCACCACGATGACAACCGAACGAACAACGAAAAGACCTGAGACAACAAGTCCAAAACCTTCTACTAATACTGAAACCTATGCACCCACAGATGAACCAACGCTCGCACCAACAGACGCTCCTACGGTACAGCCCGAACCGTTCAGTGCTAGGACGGATAGCCCATCAGACGGAACCACTGTAAACCCAACTGAGGCTCCAACCCAAGAGCCCTCGGAGTCAACATCCCAGGCAACTAGAAGACCAAGAACCGCACCAACAGACGGACCGACAACACAAGAACCCACAGGAACACCGAGCACAGAGCCGTCGGTCGGACCCACAAGCCCATCAACCGAGGCCCCGACTGAGGCACCGACTGAGGCACCGACTGAGGCCCCCACTCAGGCCCCGACTGAGCCCTCTACTGAGGCTCCAACTGAGGCCCCAACTGCCGGCCCAACTGAGGCACCGACTGAGGTCCCGACTGAGGCACCGACTGAGGCACCGACTGAGGCACCGACTGAGGCACCGACTGAGGCCCCAACAGACGCCCCGACTGAGGCCCCGACTGAGGCACCGACTGAGGCACCGACTGAGGCACCGACTGAGGCCCCCACTCAGGCCCCGACTGAGGCCCCCACTCAGGCCCCGACTGAGCCCTCTACTGAGGCTCCAACTGAGGCCCCAACTGCCGGCCCAACTGAGGCACCGACAGAGGTCCCGACTGAGGCACCGACTGAGGCACCGACTGAGGCACCGACTCAGGCACCGACTGAGGCCCCAACAGACGCCCCGACTGAGGTCCCGACTCAGGACCCTACTCCGGCCCCGACTCAGGCCCCGACTGACGCTCCGACTGACGCCCCGACTGACGCCCCAACTGACGCCCCAACTGAGACACCGACTGAGGTACCAACTGATACCCCGACTGAGGACCCGACTGACGACCCGACTGATGCTCCGACTGAGGCACCGACTGAGGCACCGACAGACGCCCCAACTGACGCCCCGTCTGAGATCCCGACTCAGGACCCTACTCAGGCCTCGACCCAGGCCCCGACTCAGGCCCCCACACAGGCCCCGACACAGGCCCCGACTGACGCCCCAACCGACGCCCCGACAGACGCCCCGACTGGTGCCCCCACTGAGCTTCCGACCGAAATTCCCGCTTCCTCTTCAAATGACGCAACCACGCAAAGCGGCACAACTGAACCTGCAAGTATCAGCACAGAAGAACCCACATTAGCCCCCACAGAAGCTTCAACGTCCGTCCCTAGCAGTGAGCCTACTGGAAAAACAACAGACGCACCGTCGGAAGCACCAAGCAGTGAGCCAACCCAAGGGCCGACAGACGCACCTACATCATCGGATTTGACAAGTATTAGTACAGAGGGACCCACATCTGCGGCTACAGAAGTTTCTACTTTGACAGACGCACCGACCGAAGCTACATCCTCCGCTTCCAGCAGTGAGCCAACCGACGAGCCCACAACCGTGCCCACAGAAGCTTCAACCTCTAGCAGGGAGCCAACTGAAGACCCGACATACGCACCAACAGAAGCTTCATCCTCCCCACCTAGCAGTGAGCCAACCGAAGGGCCCACAGACGCACCCACATCTCAAGACGTAAGCACTCAGAGCGACGTGACTGAGCCCGCAGGTATCAGTACAGAAGGGCCCACATCTGCGTCGACCGAAGCTTCGACTTCCGTCCCGAGCAGTGAGCCAACGGAGGGACCGACAGACGTTACATCTTCTGCTCCTAGCAGTGAGCCACCCACATCTGCGCCCACTGAAGCTTCACCTTCCGTTCCAAGCAGTGAGCCAACGGAAGGACCCACCTCAGCGCCTGCAGAAGCGTCAACTTCCGTCCCTACCGATGAGCCAACTTGGAAACCGACAGAAGGCCCATCCTCGGCTCCTAGCAGTCAGACACCGACATCTGCACCAACTGAAGCTTCAACTTCCGCTCCTAGCAGTCAGCCAACTGACGGACCGACAGAAGCTCCGTCCTCCACTCCTATCAATGACCCAACCGTAGACCCCACAGATACTCCTACATCCCAATATGTGACCACACAGAGCGATGTGACTGAACCTGTAAGTATCAGCACGAAAGGACCTACATCCGAGCCCACAGAAGCTTCAACTTCCGAACCCAGCAGTGAGCCAGCAAATGATCCGACAGAGATTCCAAGCAGTGAGCCCACTGAGGGGACGACGGAAGCACCAAGCAGTCAGCCAATTGCAGTACCGACAGAAGCTCCAACAGAAGGGCCGACAGAATCCCCTAGCAGTGAGCCAACCGGGAGACCAACGGAACCTCCATCGCCCGCTCCCAGCAGTTTGCCAACCGAAGGGCCGACAGAGGCACCTTCAGAAGCTCCAACCTCCGCTTCTAGCAGTGGACCTACAGAAATGCCAACAACTGTGCCCACAGAAGCTTCAACTTCTGTCTCTAGCGCTGAGCCTCAACCAGGACCCACAGACGCCCCCACCAGTGCCCCAACTGCAGGTCCAACAGAAGGTCCAAGCAGTGCGCCAACCGAAGGGCCGACAGAGTCACCGACTGAAGCTCCTCGCAGTGAGCCAACTGAAGGACCGACAGAAGCTCCGTCCGTCGCTCCTAGCAGCTTGCCAACAGCCGGACCGACAGAAGACCCAAGCAGTGCACCAACCGAAGGACCGACAGAAGCTCCAAGCAGTGCCCCAACTGACGGCCCGACAGAAGCTCCATCCCCCGCTCCTAGCAGCTTGCCAACAGAAGGACCGACACGAGGTCCAAGCACTGCGCTAACCGAAGGACCGACAGAAGCTCCTCGTAGTGAGCCAACTGAAGGACCGACAGAAAGTCCCAGCCGCTTGCCAACCGAAGGGCCGACAGACGCACCGACTGAAGCTCCTCGCAGTGAGCCAACTGACGCGCCGACAAAAGATCCATCCCCCGCTCCTAGCAGCTTGCCAACTGAAATACCTACAGAAGGTCCAAGCACTCCGCCAACCGAAAGACCCACAGAAACTCCAAGCAGTGTGCCAACTGACGGGCCGACAGAAGCTTCTACTAGTGAGTCAACAGAAGGACCGACAGAGGGCCCAAGCAGTGCCCCAACTGACGGGCCGACAGAAGCTTCGAGCAGTGCGTCGACTGACGGGCCGACAGAAGCTCCTGCCAGTGAACCTACCGAGGGACCGACACAGGGTCCCAGCAGTGTGCCAACAGCAGGACCGACAGATGCTCCAAGCAGTGCCCCAACTGACGGGCCATCAGAAGCGCCTAGCGGTGAGCCAACAGAGCGACCCACAGAAGTTCCAAGTAGTGTGCCTACTGAAGAACCGACAGAAGTTACTAGCAGTGCGCCAACTGCAGGACCGACCGAAGCACCAAGCATTGCGCCAACTGACGGGCCGACAGAAGATCCTAGCAGTGCGCCAACTGCAGGACCGACAGAAGCACCAAGCGGTGCGCCAACCGAAGGGCCGACAGACGCACCGACAGAAGCTCCTCGTAGTGAGCCAACTGAAGGAACGACAGAAGCTCCATCCCCCGCTCCTAGCAGCCTGCCAACTGAAGAACCGACCGATGGTCCAAGCAGTGCGCCATCCACAGGCCCGACAGAAGATCCTAGCAGTGCACCTACTGACGGACCCACAGAACCTCATAGCAGTGAGCCAACAGAGGGTCCAACCGAAGAGCCAACCACCGAGCCAACAGAAGGTCCAACAGGAGCTTCGTCCCCCGCTCCTAGCAGCTTGCCAACTAGAGGGCCGACAGAGGCCCCTAGCTCTGAGCCAACTGAAGGACCGACGGATGCCCCTATTAGTGCGCCAACTGGTGGACCGACAGAAACACCTACCTCTGTTTCCAGCAGTGTACCAACAGAAGAACCGACGGACTCAACCTCTTGGGCTCCAAGCACTGCGCCTACCGAAGCCCCTGTTTCCGTCCCAAGCAGTGAACCAACTCAAGGACCAACAAACGCGCCGACGGAAGCTCCAAGAAGTGAGCCAACCGAAGAGCCCACAGACGCACCAACATCCCAAGATGTGACTACTCAGAGCGACATCACTGAACCCGCAAGTATCAGTACCGAAGGACCCACATCAGCTCCTACTGAGCCACCAACTGTTGGACCTACCAATGAGCCAACTGAAGGACCCACATCCGCACCTACTATACCTTCAACTTCTGTTACTAGTAGTGAGCCAACTGAGGGACCTACATCTGTGCCCCCTAGAGCTTCAACTTCCGTCCCCAGCAGTGAGCCAACTGAAGGGCCCACACCTGATCCCACTGAACCTGCAACCTCTGTCCCAAGCAGTGAGCCAACCGAAAATCCTACAGACACACCAACACCGTCAGATGTGACCAAACAGAGCGATCCCACTGAACCTGCAAGTATCAGTACTGAAGGACCCACATCTGAACCTTCCACTGCTGTCCCAAGCAGTGAGCCAACTGAGGGACCTTCACCTGGACCCACTCAACCGCCCGCATCTCTCCCAAGCAGTGCGCCAACTGAAGGGCCCACATCTGCACCTACTGAACCTCAAACTTCCGTGCCTAGCAGTGACCCAACTGAAGGACCTACACCTGGACCCACTGATCCTTCAGCATCTGTCCCAAGCAGTGAGCCAACTGAAGGACCCACATCTGTGCCCACTGAACCTCAAACATCCGTGCCTAGCAGTGAGCCAACCGAAGGACCAACGCCTGGACCCACTGAACCTCCAACTTCAGTCCCTAGCAGTGAGCCAACTGAAGAACCTACACCCGGACCCACTGAACCTCCAGCATCTGTACCAAGCAGTGCGCCAACTGAAGGGCCCACATCTGCACCTACTGAACCTCAAACTTCCGTCCCCAGCAGTGAGCCAACTGAAGGACCTACGCCTGGACCCACTGAACCGCCAACTTCAGTCCCTACCAGTGAGCCAACTGAAGGACCCACAACCGGACCCACTGAAGCTTCAACATCTGTCCCAAGCAGTGAGCCAACTGAAGGACCTACACCTGGACCCACTGAACCTTTCACTGTTGTCCCAAGCAGTGAGCCAACTGAAGGACCTACGCCTGGACCCACTGAACCTCCAACTTTAATCCCAAGCAGTGAGACAACTGAAGGACCTACACCTGGGCCCACTCAACCGCCCACATCTGTCCCAAGCAGTGCGCCAAGTGAAGGACCCACTTCCGCGCCTTCTGAAGCCCCTACTTCCGTCCCGAGCAGTGAGCCAACTCAAGGACCAACAAACGCACCGACAGAGGGTCCAAGAAGTGAGCCAACCGAAGAGCCCACTGACGCACCAACATCTCAGGATGTGACCAGTCAGAGTGACTCCACGGAGCCCGCAAGTATCAGTACGGAAGGACCCACATCTGCGCCCACTGAACCTTCAACTGCTGTGACTAGCAGTGAGCCAGCCAGTGATCCAACAGAGACGCCCACTGAAGCTCCAACAACAGAGACCAGTGTTCCGCCAATTTCCACCAAGCCATCTTGGCCCCCAATGCCTGCACCTGCAAAGTGTTCTATTGGCTTGGGCGACATCATGCTGCCTGACCCGAAGGACTGTGGGCGCTACATTCGCTGTAACGGCGGATTTTCGTGGAACATGCCCTGTGCTCCAGGCACCAGGTTCAGTTACGCCAAACAGACGTGTGACCATATTTGGGCTGTCCATTGTGACGTTACGCCGCAACCCACCCCCTCGACTCCACACCCCACCACGCGGCCCACTCCAACATCCACCACTAAGCCCACTCCAGCAGCTACCACTAAACCCACTCCAGCACCAACGAGGGCGCCGAGCACAGCGAAGCCATCCTGGCCCCCAATGCCAGCTCCCACTAAATGCACAGCCACGATGGGGGACATCATGCTGCCCGACCCCAAGGACTGCAGCAAGTACGTCCGCTGCTACGCCGGATTCACTTGGAACATGCCTTGTCCTCCTGGCACTCGGTTCAGTTACGCCAAGCAGACTTGTGACCACATTTGGGCAGTTAAATGCAACACATGATGCAGAGAGTGGCGTTTTCGTTGCGGGATCCATGTCTGACCTTCCATGTATTCTATATAGGCGTGTAATAAATAACTTACCAAATGTAAACCTATATTTTTATTGCAACTTGTAGTGTTTTCTTGTGCCTGTTGCAAACTGAGTGGTAGTTACCGTCACTTCTATGTGACGCAAACAGAATTCTCAATTTCATTTTGAATTGCAGATTGGATTTAATTCTCTTTTTTTACATGACGTTAGACACACATTTCGGGAAAAAAATTTAGCTCAATTCAAGGCATATTAACATACAAACTTAGCAATGAATAACAATCTGAGATTGTTGTTATAGCTGTTCTATTTAATACTCTTTGGAAAATGTCACTAACATTCTTGCGCATCTAGCAACTAGTCAAGTACGCGTTTATTCCTATAACTTATTTCACACATTGTAAGTGGTTATTATGTTGACTCACATTTCCTTTATTACAAGCAATATTTAGACGAATAACTTATTATCGTAATCATTCACACCATATGTACAGGTTCATACACTCACAGCGGCCGGGCGAAGATGTGATCAAGCCGACGACGCTTGGATTGGCAGCATTGGACAGGAGAGCTCACGGCAAGGCACAAAGTAGGCTTCGGGAACCTAAGTCCTTTGTTTCCACATTGATTCCATAGCGAGTAAAATCTGATCATAGATTTTCCAGCACACATTTTGAAGCGTCAAAGTTTTTCGCGGAGAGGATAGCGGCTTTTAAAATGCTCCATAAGTTTAGACTTTCCGCAAAATTTAGGCACTCAGAAAACATGTCGATTTTTCACGCTGGGCCGAGATAAAATTTTCGACTTTCGTACAATACCCTAAGAGTAAGAGATCCTTCAGACAGGTGACTCGGGAATGTCTTTGTACGAAGCGGGCAGCTGGGCGGGCAACTGGACGCGCAGGTTGTGGTGGTGGGGGTGGCTCATGCCGTGGCTCAGCCCGTGCGACAGGCAGGGCTGCAGGGGCTGTTCCTTGGAGCTCTTTCGCGAGGACGGCGGGCTGGGCGAGTGGTTCTGCTGGTGGTTGTTGTCCAGCAGGGTGGTCTTGTGCGAGCCGGGGGGCCGCTTCCCCAAGGCGTGCTGCCGCATCAGCTTCTTGCGGCGTCGGTTCTGGAAAGCAACGCCGCGTTCAACTTGACCCGCAGTGTACGTAGAGCACGCAATCCAGTCCACGGCGCACCGTGGGCCAGAAGACCGGTGGAGGCGGCCAAAACTCGAGACGCGTTTTGAGCTCCAGATTCGCAAAACGCGACTCGAACAGACCTTGTGACCCCACCAACGGATTGCTCTGCGAACGAGGAATCAATTGGTCGGGTCACACGGCCGGTTCGTGTCCCACTGAGTGACTCTGGAGCTCAAGACGCGTCCGGAATTTAGACCGCCTCCACCGGTGGCCCACTGCAGCAGCACTGCAGCGGCCGCCTGACCTGGAAGAAGAGCCGCAGGTAGTAGATGGGGAACTCGACGCACTGACCGCCCTCCTCCTCGGCGTCGATGTACACGCCGCGGACCAGGATTGAGTTGGCGCTGTTGAGCAGCACCAGGAGCAGGAATGGCAGCAGGTGGCTGATCCAGTAGCTCGCCACGGGGTTTCCTGCCACAGAATCACACAATTCACTTCCCAGCAACAAAAAACAGAGGCATCGACCGGGGCTCGAACCATGGTCTTCACGCACGAGGGACGACAGCGTAGTGCGCACGGCTACGGAATCAAGGTGACGCACCTGGCAGCAAGTAGTGGTTCAGCAGGTTCCAGACGCCCCGCCACACGTTGACCGTGCCCACGAAGGAGAACAAGTGGTACATGTCGACGACCAGCACGCGGCAGCACCCGGACATCCGCTGCACCACGGACATCATGCAGGGCTGCAGGCTGAACGCCACGATGGTGATGCAGTAGCCGAGCGTCTGCAACGTCGAGAGAGGTTAGCCAGAGGCTCGCAGGCTCAGCCCGGTGGCTGACTCACGTAGCACGGTGGGCCAGAGGACCGGTGGAGGCGGCCAAAACTCCAGAAGTGTTTTGAGCTCCAGAGTCGCTAAATGGGACTCGAACAGAACGTGTGGCCCTACCGGGCCCCACCGATGGATTCCTCGTCCGGAGAGCATTCCATTGGTGGGATCACACGGTCAGTTCGAGTCCCATGTAGCGACTCTGGAGCTCAGAACGCGTCTGAATTTTTGGCCGTCTCCACCGGTCCTCTAGCCCACTGTGCGCAAGCAAAGGCTAAGGCTTGGGCCGAGGCTTACCAGCGAGCCCCAGGCGGACCAGGCGTAGTGGCGCGGGAACAGGTAGATGTCGAAGATGCACCAGCCGCCGCGCCACACGAACACCACCAGGGTGTGCACCACCAGCACGGAGAACAGGCAGTCCAGGATGTACAGCAGCGTCTGCCGCGAGCTCTGGAAAGCAGGGTCCAATTAAGCTGAGCCCTTGTTTGCACTCGTTGGCGCGTCGCCGCCTCGCCACTGCATTGCCTGGCATGGCCTGGCATCGCACGCCTCGCGTGACCGCGCGGCAGAGTTTTGGCGTTTTGGCGACTTGGCCGAAGTGTTTACGCTTGGCAGTGTGCACTCCTTGTCCGTGATTAGTGGCCAGACTTGCACTCGTGTTTTGCCGCAGATAGAATCCTTTTTCCTCGATGGTCACTGCGTCAGTGCTCTCGTCCTTATCGCTATGACGCATGCAGGACGACAGCGATCTTCTTTATCTCTCGCACGCATGCGGCGGCCCATTTCGTCGGCCTTGGCATTGATCCTCTCGTTCACCATGGTGCGTGCATGCTGGCTCGCTCATGACCATAATCGATCACCATGGTGCATGCATACTGGTTCGCTCATGACCATCATAGTTCACCACGGTGCATGCCTGCTGGTTCGCCACCATAGTGTGGGTTCACCCATATCGTTCACCATGATACCTGCATGTAGTTCGCCATTCACCACGGTGCGTGCATCTGGGTCGCTCATATCGTTCGCCTTGTTGCGTGCATGCATGCGGTTCGCCCATATCGATCACCATGGAACATGCACGCTGGTTCGCCCTTAGCGTTCACCATGGTGCGTGCATGCTGTTTCGCCCTTAGTATTCACCATGGTGCGTGCATACAACTGGTTCGCCCTTAGCGTTCACCATGGTGCGTGCATGCTGGTTCACTCATGACCATCATCGTTCACCGTGCTGCGTTCGCTCGAGACCACGAGGGCTGCCGCACTCACGGTGTGGAACATGGTGGGCACTTGGAAGTAGTTCTCGTGGTTGTCGGTCACGATGACGAAGGGCGGCGCGGAGATGTTCCGGAGCGCGCGCATGCAGCCCAGCGCCACGACGGGCACGGCCGTGAGCGCCGCCACGGTGGCGGGGTTCAGCCCCGTGTGCTCGTCCAGCGCCTTCCAGACGCCGCGGAACGAGTTGACGCAGCCGAAGCTGAAGAGGGCGGTGTACACGCGCGAAAGCACGTAGTACATGAGGCGGTGCTTGTCGGGGTGCAGGTGCCTCTCCAGTGGATGCTGCACCTGTGTGCCGCGCCGGGTATGAGAAATTGCGGTGAGTCACTTTGTCAATCGGTTTTTTTTCCTCGGTTGGCACTACTGTCCAGAGGAGTTGACGCCCGCGCCGCGCCCGCCTCCCACTAACGGGGTTGCCCCCGCCCCGCCCCGCCGTCCCTCAGCTGTCTGCAGGGCAGCCGCCTCGGGAAAGGAATGGAGCCAGGTTGAATGGGGCCCCGCAGGCAGAGCGAAGCCAAGGGCACTATTTTGAGGCTTCGGTCCGGCCCCTTGTCCGAAACCCAGCTTCCTCCATTTTCCTGCCCAACTTGACTTTGAACTCAAGGCTTTTGTACACCTAGTTGGCGGGCGGTTCGCGAACGGATTCCTGGTGGGGGTGAAGTTCTTTCGAGTTTCGAAGACCATCACACGTTCAGAACAAAGACAAGGTAGCAGGTGACGCGAATCGAACTCGCGACCCACGTGCCACTGCCCCACATCGCACAGTGGGCCAGAAGACTGGATAAGGCTTCAAAACTTCTAGGCGCGTTTTGAACTCCAGAGTCGCTAAACAGGACTCAAACTAGACATGTGCGCCGCGCCGCCGCTGCGCCGCCGCCGACAAATTTTACCGCGCCGCCGCCGCTGACCAAAAATTTGCGGCGCGCCGCCGCGCCGCCGCCGATGATTTTACCGGCGGCGGCGTCGGCGTCGCGACCTTAAATGCCCTAAATATTTGCATTTCCATCAGCAGCGAGCGCCCAGGGATAGACAACCCGACGAGCACGTTCTCCGCCGCGAGAACAAAATCTTATTGGAGTGTTTAAATTGCTTAATTTTTACCTTTGTAACGAAACTAAAAGAACTAGTCCATCAAATTGTGTTTTCCTTTCATGGGCATGTTTTTAAATTGAGAAATTAGACCAAATTTAAGTCAACCACGCCGCCCGCGCCGCCGCCGCCGCCGCCGATCAAGACATCGGCGCAGACGCCGGCGTCGCCGCCGCCGCCGGCTAAATTTCGGCCAAACGCCGCCGCCGATGAAAATGCGGTCGGCGCACATGTCTAACTCAAACCGAACGTGTGACCCCAGCAATGGATTCCTCTTCTGGAGAGCAATCCAATGGTGGGGTCACTAGTTCGGTTCGAGTCCCTCAGAACGCGTCTGGGATTTTCACCACCTCCACCGGCTCTCTGGCCCACTGTGCCGCGCTCTCGGCAAACGTTGGTTCAGTGTTCAGATGCGCAAACTTGAATCCGAGAGGGACGTGATTAGTGCTTGCGCACAGACACACACACACACACACACACACACCATGGTGAAGAGGGTGTGGCAGCCCGCGCCGATGGCGACGGACACCAGGTTGCTGAGGTTGGGCTGGTCGGGGAACACGTAGTGGTCCATGAGGGCCCAGGTGCCGCGCCAGTAGCTGACGACGGCCGGCGCCATGAGGAACATGGAGACGAGCATGTCGAGGCCGTGCAGCAGGGCGTAGTGGCCGCGCGACGTGCCGCGCAGCCCGTCCGAGATGCCCACGATGCTGCCCCTCATGGTGAAGGACTGGCGGCGGCGTCGCGGCGGCGAGGACGCCGAGGACGCCGTCGGCCCGTTGGCCGGCTCGTTCGGCCACATGTCTGCGGAGCCTGCGGAGCCTGCGGACCCTTCTACAGCGTCCGCATAACACGCGCGCACACCCGCACACACATCACGACGCGGACCTGGAGCTGGACCTGGACGCGGACCTGGACGCGGACCTGCGGCGCAGCGAGCGCAGGCTCTCCATGTCCCCGCGGCACTGGCACTGACCAGCTCGCCTGACCCCCGAGGGGGCCCGGGCGGCCCCACCGTCCCGGCCCCACCGGCCCCACCGGGCTCCCGGACGTCAACGGCCACCCCCTCCCCGCCGAGGAGGCCGCCGTCAGACCAGACTGCATTTCGAAGCAGCCGCTACCTGATTTAACGAAGACATTGTTGCGCACAGTGGGTCATAAGACCGGCGCAGGCTGCCGCAACTCTAGACGCGTTTCGATCTCCAGAGTCGCTACACAGGACTCGAACCGAACGTGTGACCCCACCGATGGGTTGGTCTCCGAACAAGGAATCGATTGGTGGGATCACACGTTCGGTTCGTGTCCCATTCAGCGATTCTGGAGCTCAAAGCGCGTCCGGGACTTTGACCGCCTCCACCGGCCTCCTGGCCCGTTCTCGGCCTCTGCGGGGGGCGCCGGGCAGGCAGGCCGCACGCGCGCACGTCTGCTGGCCGCGTGGCCCACCTGGCACCACCTGGCACCACCTGGCACCACCTGGCACCACCTGGCACCACCTGGCGCCGGCCGAGCGGAGAGACGCGGCGCACCGGGCCCGTGGTGGTCCGCTAGTCCGACTATTGGTGGGGCGGTGGGGGCGGTGTGCAGCATGGTCGTGGCCACCTATGGGGGACACCCCACGAGTTCTAGAGAGACAGAGCGACGTAAACGACTCTCGGAATCAGTCGGCAGGTCGGCCAGGTGCGTTGGCCGCCGACCGAGCGCAGGCCAGGCCAGCGCGGTGTGGGCAGTGCCGCGACAAAGGACGTTGCTTTTGTTGCTGGCCGCTTGTTGTTGCTGCAGCTGAGTTGAGCAGACTATAGAGCGTGCTGATTGCCGGCCGAGCCGAGATGTGTCCGCGCGGGCTGCGCGCGCTCGGACCGTCCGGCGTCCCCCGGGGGACTCCCCCCACCCCCACCCCTCCCCCTTCGCGACGCGTGGGCCGACAACGTCACAACACACTGCAGCAGACGTCCCGGCCAATGTTTACGGCCGAATTCGGAAAGGTGGGGACGCATTCATATCTGCGGCAAATTTTTCGAGAAAATCGTCCTCTGGATTCGAACCCTAGTGGTCTATTACTTTTGACAAATGTTTATGCGAACTCACTGATCAAAATATTTACGCAAACGGTGATTTTCAGCCATGATATTCAAATGAAGACTTCAATTTTAACTCTCGAAAACGGCTCTATATTTTGGGTGGCTGTACTCACGTCGGACCGGAAGCGGAAGCTGAAGGAGAAGACGTAGTCCGGGCCGTCCTGCGCGACGACCAGCGGCGGCGCCATGGTGTTGCGCCAGGAGCGCAGCGCGAACAGCGAGGCGGCGGACATGGCCCACACCAGGCCCACCACGGCCGGGCTGGTGCCCAGCAGGTCCAGCAGGAACCACAGCCCGCGCCAGTGCGTCACGCACGCCACCATGAACACGTACGTGTAGCACCGCGTCAGCACCTGCAAGACAGTCAAATGGGGCCGTGTTTCGAAACCTAAGTCAAAACAACCATAACCGAAGTCAAAACAATCAAGACAGGCCATAACCGAAGTCAAAACGGGCAAAACGGACCACAACCTAAGTCAAAACGGTCAAAGTGGATGACAACCTTAGTCAAAACGGACTTCACTTTGACTCTCCAGTCAAAACGGACTTTACGTTGACTCCAGTCAAAACGGACCCTATTTTGACACATTCAAAATGGACGTGGTCCATATATGAGCCCAGTTAAAATGTACTGCATTTTGACTGAGTCAAATGGGATCATATTTATTTAGAGGTTTGTTTTGATGATGCCAGTTTGACTGCGTATTCTTCCCCAGGGACAAGGGTTGGACGGCAGGTAAGTTTATTGTGTGTGTGTGTGTGTGTGTGTGTGTGTGTGTGTGTGTGTGTGTGTGTGTGTGTGTGTGACGGACTAGGATAATAAATAGCGCAGGGAAATGGGGCACAAGGTCAGCGGCGGGGCGCCGCCCGCTGCGCGTCTTCCTCTGCACTGAGTACTGCCCGCAGCGCGGCAACAAAAACAAAAACCGCAGCAGCAGCAGCGACAGCAGCAGGTGCAGTTGCACCAGCACACTGTAGTGTTGCGGCTGCCGGCAGCAGCGGCAAGCGCAGCGGCACAGGAAGCAATCAATTAATATCGATATGCCTAATGAGGGCAGGGCTGGGCAAGGCAGCCCCAGGCAGGCAGGGCAGGGCAGCCCGGCCGCAGTGGCCTAGGCCAGGCTGTGCCATGGCTGGGCCGGCTAGGCTGGCCGTGCTAGGCTACGCCTGGCTACGCCCCGGTCCCTGCTGCGAGGGTTTCCTGCTGAGGCCCTGAGGCACAGCGGCGACAAACAAAAAGAACCGCGGCTGGGAAAAGCGCATGCTTTTCCAGACGGAACACAGAGGACGCGGTCGAAATCCCGGACGCGTTTTGAGCTCCAGAGTCGCTAAATGGGGCTCGAACCGAACGTGTGACCCCACCAATGGGTTGCTCTCCGAACGAGGAATCCATTGGTGGGGTCACACGCTCGGTTTCTACCTCTTTATAGTAAGTGTTACTTGGTTTCTGTGCTTTTCTTTTTTTTTTGCGTGCAGCTCCATGGCCATGCGCGGGGTAATCCCTCGGCCGTGATTATAAGTCGGATAGTCAGAAGTAATCCCGTCTGGTGATAAAAACACAGGCAAACAATCAGGCCGGTTACGACCGCGACGCGTCCTTTTATCTAATTGTGTGGACGTTGGTGGGCGGGTCGCGTCGGCGTGTCCAAGGCGCCTGGAACCAGCGGTCCCTCGCGTGGGTCGTTTTACAGTGCATGAGGGTGAGCGAAACGAAGCGACTCTCGCGAAAGGAATTATTGCGTTCGAAAGTGAAGAAAATGGACAGTTGATTTTGGAGTGCGACTGTACGTGGGGATTCGCGACGCGATTCGCGAGCGGCACTTGAGCGGGCTCACTGGCGCGTGGGGAGGCCACAGATCAAGAGGGTTCCTTCTAAATACCAATTACTTGATTCCACTTCGCCTGGTCGGCCTGGTCAGTCGCCGTCAGTCGCGCACAGAGCTGCGCACGTGCGGGGATTCCCGAACGACTTACGGTGCTCTGCCCGAACTCTGCGTCCAATCATCAGAGAAGGGGCGATAGCCAACGAGACTGCCAAAAAAGGAACGGTCACCACTCGTCGGCTACCTTGCTGCCTTGACCAGTGGCGGGTCCAGAGGGTGGACGTGGAACACCCCCCCCCCTCCCCCCTCTTTCTCTCTGACCTTGACGAAGTTGCGGGTGGGCTCCGGGTAGCGCCTGCAGTCGAAGGTGGTCATGAAGAGGTCCCTGGAGAGCGCCAGCCCCGAGTGCAGCACGGCGCCGAACGCGGCTAGGGCCCAGTCCGGGATGCCCGGGTACAGCTGGAACATCTCGAAGAGCCCCCGCCAGGTGGAGATGACCAGGGGGGCCACCACGTGCAACGAGAGCAGGCTGTCCACCACGCGGAGGATGTCCGGGCCTGCCAAAATGACGCGTTGTTATTTTGCGGTGTCTTGCGTCGCGTTTTGAGCTCCAGAGTCGCTAAATGGGACTCGAACCGAACGTGTGACCCCACCAATGGATTGCTCTCCGAACGAGGATTCCATTGGTGGGGTCCCACGTTCGGTTCGAGTCCTGTGTAGCGACTCTGGAGCTCAAAACGCGTCTGGAGTTTTGGCCGCCTCCACCGGTCTTCTGGCCAATCCACTGTGTTCCGGTTCCCCTGGTGGATCGTTCGGACCGGATCCGGACGGACGCGTTGCGTCCAAAATGTTTCAAATAGGACCGTTTGCGGACTGCGTCCCTGCCACGTCCATCGGCGTCCATAAAGGTCCATAAAGGTCCTAAAAGGGTCCGTGTGGGTCGGGTGGCGTCCGTGGGGCGTCCGCACTGGGTCCTTAAGGGTCGGTGTGGCGTCCACACTGCGTCTGTTTGGGCCTGTGAGGCGTCCGTACTGCGTCCGTTGGAACCCGTGGAGCGTCCGTACTGCGTCCGTTGAAACCCGTGGAGCGTCCGTACTGCGTCCGTCGAAACCCGTGGAGCGTCCGTACTGCGTCCGTCGAAACCCGTGGAGCGTCCGTACTGCGTCCGTTGGGGTCCGTAGAGCGTCCGTGATGCGTCCGTTGGGGTCCGGGGTTGGCGTCCATCCTTCGTCCACAAAGGTCCAGCCAGGGTCCGAAGGGGTTCTTATGGACGCTTATGGACGCCAACGGACTTACTTCAGACTTTGTATGCATGGACCCACAAGGACGCACTTCGGACCCTGGTTGCGACCACTCGTTGGAAAGGTCTTACCAAGACCCGTTCAAATCTGCAATAAAAAAAAATTGTTGGTCACCCCCCTTTTTTGAAGATACAGTTTTCTAAACTCTATCCGGAGAAAAGGGGGGTGACCAACAATTTTTTTTTATTGCAGATTTGAACGGGTCTTGGTAAGACCTTTCCAACGAGTGGTCGCAACCAGGGTCCGAAGTGCGTCCTTGTGGGTCCATGCATACAAAGTCTGAAGTAAGTCCGTTGGCGTCCATAAGCGTCCATAAGAACCCCTTCGGACCCTGGCTGGACCTTTGTGGACGAAGGATGGACGCCAACCCCGGACCCCAACGGACGCATCACGGACGCTCTACGGACCCCAACGGACGCAGTACGGACGCTCCACGGGTTTCGACGGACGCAGTACGGACGCTCCACGGGTTTCGACGGACGCAGTACGGACGCTCCACGGGTTTCGACGGACGCAGTACGGACGCTCCACGGGTTCCAACGGACGCAGTACGGACGCCTCACAGGCCCAAACAGACGCAGTGTGGACGCCACACCGACCCTTAAGGACCCAGTGCGGACGCCCCACGGACGCCACCCGACCCACACGGACCCTTTTAGGACCTTTATGGACCTTTATGGACGCCGAAGGACGTGGCAGGGACGCAGTCCGCAAACGGTCCTATTTGAAACATTTTGGACGCCACACGGACGCGCGCGTCCGTCCGGATCCGGTCCGAACGATCCACCAGGGTCCTCACCCTTGCCCGGCAGCGGAATGAGTTCATCGTCGGCGTCCTGGGCGTGCGCCTTGTCCTCGCGGTCGTCGTCGTCGTCCTTGAGGGGCGCGCGTTCGGCGGCGTCCTCGGCGGCGTCCTCGGTGGCGTCCTCGGCGGCGGCAGGTGTGGAGGACACGCGGGAGGACATGGTGTCCCGGCCGGCGGCGCGAGCGGAGTGCTCGACGCAGGTGAGTCTGTGTGTGTGTGTGGCTCGCCTCCGCCCATGTCTCGCAACATCCCAGCACCTTGCTAGGCTCTGGTGCCTGATTAAATCAGCCACAGCAAAGAGTCTCCTTGCGTGCAATACAAAACTATCACTTTTATTTTTACATTTTTTGGAAGGAAAGGGGGAACTTGTTGGAGTTGTTTCTCTGTGTTCATGATGGCTATCGACGCCTATCGATCGGGCGGGAAGGTAAACTCGCCGAGCGCCGCCGCCTGTCCCAGGCCCTGGCCCTTCCGGCGAATGCTGCCCGCGTCGCTCTGTCTCTCTCGCACTCGCCCCGTGCAGGTGCGAGAGAGACAGAGCGAGGGCAAGGGCCGACGGGGCCGTGGGGCTTGAGGGGCCCCGTCCTGGCCCCGTCCTGGCCCCGTCCTGGCCCCGTCCTGGCCCCGTCCTGCTGACGGCCTGACGGGCCCCTTCGGCCCTTCGGCCACACAAAGCATCCTCCATGTTTAGTCCAAGGCCCAAGGCCGGGCCTCCGCCTGACCTTGACGAGCAAGCGGAGCAAGCGGCACACTTTAAATGTCATTCCTCTGATCGAGTTAACGCGCGCTCGCCACGCAGTCCGCGCACATTTACCTTCCCACGTCGCCGGACTTACTCTACTCAGCCCGTAGCGTGGCGGGTAGCGCGCGCGCGAGCGGGCCGGGAGGACGCGCGTTCGACTCCCCGCGAAGCCCTCTATTTCTCCCCCATCAAACCGGCCTTCCGCGAGACGCTGAGTCGACTTCCTTCGGTGACACGTGTCGCGTCGTGTGCCTCGCTGTCTGCTCGCTGTCTCGGCGTTGCTTTTGCTGATTCGAACAAATGTGGGTCTTCCAGGTCCAACGAGACGGCCATCAGTCTGTGCCCCTCGAGCTGGCTTGGCCGGGACGGACCGCGACGGACAGCCCGTCGGGCCGGGCCAACCAAGGGCCAACGAGGAAAACACTGTGCCAACTTAGATTCAACAAAGCGTTCGGCGTTTGCAGAGTGGATATTTCGAAGGACTTCTCCCCGAGTGTGCCTGTTCCTTCTCCTCCTCCTCCTGGAGGCAGGCCGTGGAGAGGCAGGCCGTGGAGAGGCAGGCCGTGGAGAGGCAGGCCGTGGAGAGGCAGGCCGTGGAGAGGCAGGCCGTGGAGGCAGGCCGTGGAGGCAGGCCGTGGAGGCAGGCCGTGGAGAGGCAGGCCGTGGAGAGGCAGGCCGTGGAGAGGCAGGCCGTGGAGAGGCAGGCCGTGGAGAGGCAGGCCGTGGAGAGGCAGGCCGTGGAGAGGCAGGCCGTGGAGAGGCAGGCCGTGGAGAGGCAGGCCGTGGAGAGGCAGGCCGTGGAGAGGCAGGCCGTGGAGAGGCAGGCCGTGGAGAGGCAGGCCGTGGAGAGGCAGGCCGTGGAGAGGCAGGCCGTGGAGAGGCAGGCCGTGGAGAGGCAGGCCGTGGAGAGGCAGGCCGTGGAGAGGCAGGCCGTGGAGAGGCAGGCCGTGGAGAGGCAGGCCGTGGAGAGGCAGGCCGTGGAGAGGCAGGCCGTGGAGAGGCAGGCCGTGGAGGCAGGCCGTGGAGGCAGGCCGTGGAGGCAGGCTGTGGGTGGAGGCAGGCCACGTGCTAACAAGGATGTGCAGGGAGCTGGAAACGGCAACCTTCGCGGCTGGAATCCAACACCCTCACACAATTTGCGCCACCCTTTCATGCCTAATCTCGCTTGTTGAGTGGCCGCCTTTATGGAGGGGGCGGTGGCGGGGGGACGACCAAGATATCCCGGGTATAGTATTTGAACCATTCGTCTGTTTCCCGAGGAAGAACCCAAACCCACACCTATACTTACCCCTCCCCCTTCACTCCCCCCCCCCCCCACACACACACATACACGTTCGGGGGGCGCTGCCGCTGCCATATGGACAGCAGCAGAATTAACCCCTCCCCCCCTCTCCTCTCCGACTGCCAACGATGCGCGACAATTTCCCGCCAAATTGCTGGAATTGTCGTCTGCTAAGTGCCGACCGGACAGACAAGTACGGCGGACGGCCCACGGCCAAGGACTGCCGAGGGCTGCTGCCCTGACTCTCTCGCACTCGTAGGGAGTCCCGCATGGTCTCGCAGGGGTGCGAGAGAGACAGAGCGCCGCCGCGCCCACGCAGCGAGGACGGCGCGAATTCGAAAATCGGGCAGGAAAGAGGGATTTGGATTAGACCGGTCGGCCGAGGCCCCTTGAAGGTTGCACTGCTTGCGCGGCGTCTGGGGCTCGATGCTCAGTGGGCCAGAAGACCGGTGGAGGCGGCCGAAACCCTTGGCGCGTTTTGAGCCCCAGAGTCGCTAAATGGGACTCGCACAGAACGTGTGACCCCACCAATGGATTGCTCTCCGAACGAGGAGTCCATTGGTGGGGTCACACGTTCGGTTCGCGTCCTGCTTAGCGACTCTGCAGCTAAAAACGCGTCTATAGTTTAGGCCGCCGGCGCCGGTCTTCTGGCCCACTGTGCGATGCACTGTCTCTCCCTAGTCGCTGGCACACCCTAAGATATGGTCCGAGCGTTTCGGGCCTCATGGATTCCCAGGACCCCCAATAAAACTGTCACGCTGTCTGGCGGAGCTGAGACCGGCCTCACTGCAAAAAAAATCCGCCGCCGTCTCAACGAGCACGTCGCTAAGCCGTTTCCGCTAATCCCGATCCACGTGCGGAGTGGCGGGGCGGGGTGGGGCTGGCGGGACGGGGCGGGGCGGGGCGGGGCCGGCCGGGCGGAGCGAGCGGCATGAAGGCCTTAAGGATTGTGTTCCAGCACGGCGCGCATGCAGGCGGCCGGCCGAAAGGCCAGAAAGGCATTTCAGAACCATTTCTATTGCCAGTTAGGGATAATGGTTGCCATTATTCCCTTTTGTTCACTCAATGGGATAAGCGGAGATCAGTGTAACGTTATTGATGCACTCTAGTCAAGGCTGTCGTTGTTTCACGTGTTCCACCCGTTTCACCGCCTGCAGCGTTGGCAGTGAGGTTCCAGTCTGTGGCCACAGCGTTGCAGAACCTCTCTCGTGTGGGTTTGGCCGGGTTTGGCCTTGCACAGTGGGCCAGAAGGCCAGTGGAGGCGGCCAAAAGCCTACACGCGTTTTGAGCTCCAGAGTCGCTGAACAGGACTCAAACGCAACGTGTGACCCCACCAATAGATTCCTCGTTCGGAGAGCAAGCCATTGGTGGGGTCACACGTTCGGTCCGAGTCCCATTTGTTGACTCTGGAGCTCAAAACGCGTCTCCCTCCGACTAGACTTGTAGCGCCTGTGAGGTAGGCCACGGTGTCGGCCCGTAACACACCGTTGTGGAGACGGTGGCCTACCTCGCGCCTGTCGTCTTCAGGGGGCGAGGTAGGCCACCGTCTCCACAACGGTGTGTTACGGGCCGAGACCGTGGCCTACCTCGCAGGCGCTACAAGTCCGGGAAAGCCCTGCACGGCTGCGTGGCGGGCTGCGTGGCGGGCTGCGTGGCGGGCTGCGTGGCGGGCTGCGTGGCGGGCTGCGTGGCGGGCTGCGTGGCGGGCTGCGTGGCGGGCTGCGTGGCGGGCTGCGTGGCGGGCTGCGTGGCGGGCTGCGTGGCGGGCTGCGTGGCGGGCTGCGTGGCGGGCTGCGTGGCGGGCTGCGTGGCGGGCTGGCCTACCCTGCCCATGGCGGGCGCTGCGCTCGCCGGCACTGCCGCAGGTTTGGCTCGCGCTTTGCACAACGCTTCCAGCACACTGATTCCGAGCGCTACCATCGCTATGTGTCTATCTCGCACTCATGGAGCGCGCCTTGTAGGTGCGAGAGAGACAGAGCGACGAAAACGACCCTCGGAATCAGTCTGCAGTACGGGGCGGTCCACTGCAAGACGCGGCATTTGGTGGTGCATCCGCTGATTCTTCTCGAAGCGAGATAAGATAGGCGTCGCGAGCAATATTCCTCTGCGTGGAGGAAGGGGGAGCTTAACTCCATCGCACTTTCGAAGACGGGGCGCACTCGGCGCAGTCCCCACCCCGCGGCCTTGGCCTGCACGACTCCAGTGCTGCACTGCACGCCGCCTTGGCACCGGCTCCTCCCTCGCACTCACGTGACTGGCGCGGCTTTCCGCAAGGGTGCGAGAGAGACGGAATGACGAGCGGCCCAATGATGCGGTCGGTCCTGCCGCAGGATGGCGGGTTCACCAGGAAAAGCACACGCGTGTGGGTTGGAAAGTATATATTTGCTCTATGTCAACAAAAATATCTTTGTACATACATTATCGCTATAGCACGACGGTCACTTTTCTTAATACGATCATGTCCCACGCAAATCACACACTCACTCACTCAGACACACAGACAGACAGACGTAAACACACACGAACACACGGGTGGATGTTTGGGCGGCTTAGAAGCGGATGGTGAAGCCCCGGAACTCGGGCCGCCTCAGGTACTCCAGGTTGAGCAGGTCGCAGCGCTCTATCCTGCAGCCGGGGCTCCCGGTCTTGGACAGCCACGAGATCCTGGAACAAGTCGACATGGCGTTTGATTTACAGCGTGATGGTTGGCTGCAGTGGGCCACCCCGGACGCACAGTGGGTTGGCGGCCAAAAATCTAGACGCGTTTTGAGCTGTGGAGTCGCTACATGGGACTCGAATCGATCGTGTGACCTCACCAATGGATTGCTCTCCGAGCGAGGAATCCAGTGGTGGTGTCACACGTTCTATTCGAGTCCCATTTAGCGACTCTGGAGCTCAAAACGCGTGTAGAGTTTTAGCCGCCGCCGGCCTTCTGGTCCACTGAGGGACGGGCGGGCGCGCGTGCCGCCAGGCGGACGCAAGTGTGAGGCAATACAGCACGGGCCCAGCTGATGGTGCCGGTGCACGGTGCAGGCGCCCTGCACCGCCCTGCCGGACGCAAGCGCTGCAAGCGCTGCAAGGGCAGCTGGTGCATTCCTAACCTCAACACGGTCCACAAATAACGCTGGCGACGCCCCCGCCCTGGCCGCCCCGCCCCGCCCCGACCCGTCTTGGCCCAGCGTCGGGTAGCAATGTAAACACAGTCCGGCGGCGCCCATCGACAGCCCGCCAAAGTGACGGCATCGCTCTGTCTCTCTCGGACCGCTGCGGAGAGCCCCGTGAGTGCGACAGAGACGGAGCGACGGAAACGACAAGGCGCGAAGTGTTGGCGCGGGGCGAGGGTTGGCCGGGCCGCGCCTCCCACACTGTGAATCGGCATCGGCCCGGTCAAAGCCCCAAAGTCCGCCGCGGTCGCGCTCGCTAGCGCTGGCCTAGACAAAGGGCCAGGCTGCCCGGCAGCAGGTTCATTCCGAAAGTGATTTTGTCACCCCGTCTCTCTCTCTCTCTCTCTCTCTCTCTCTCTCTCTCTCTCTCTCTCTCTCTCTCTCTCTCTCTCTCTCTCTCTCTTTCCCACTCGATTGGCCGCCCGAAGGGGTGCGAGAGAGACGGGAGAGCATGCGCGGCATCGTCCTACTGGCGCTGCTGGCGCGCGCCCAACGGAGGCGGTCCGAGAGTGAGAGGGCCTCCTCCTCCTCCTCCTGAGGGAAGCAGAGCAGCAGGGCGAACAGGGCACCCTCCCCATTGTTGTATTATTTTAAGGGACGCCAGACGCGTCTCGCGGCTCCGTCGGCCGGCCGGTCTCTGCACCCGCGCACTTTCAATCATTTTCGCGCCTACACCCTGGGAAAACAAGGTCCAACCGGCGCGCATTCTTTCTCGGTTTCAATGGCCCGCCTGTCTTGATAGGGAGGGTCGCACACACGGTCTTCGATTTCGGTCTGACTTTCTCTCTTTTCTTCCCGTTGGTGCAAATGACTTACATTTGTTCGACGTATCTCTTCTCCCCCTGCATCTTGCCCAGGATGGTCCCCTTCTTGGAGTTCTTGACCCAGCCGCCGAGGCCCAGCTCCAGGCAGCGTTCCCTGCAGTACTTCGTGAAGTACACCCCTTCAACAGAAAACGGGACCCTCGGTTTTGGTTTGCACTGCAGAGCTTGCCGCTGTCTCTCTCGCACCCTTGCGGCACGCCCCATGAGTGCGAGGGAGACAGAAAGTCTCGCCACTCTGGCGACGGTGGCGACACCCAGAGGGTATCCGAGGATACCCCCTCCCCTCACCTTGCACTTGGCCGTACACTTCAAACTCGACCGACACGATGGCCGAGTGCCCCAGCTCGCGGGGCGGCTTGGCGGGGTCCACGTCCTGAATGTCCTGGATCATGGTGTCGCTGCGCCCGGCGCCTCGCCTCGCCACGCCCTGGAGGCTCTGGAGGTCGGCAGTGACTCGGACGCGAAGCGCGAAGGTTGCAGGCCCCGCACTGTACTCGCGGACAGTGTGGCGTCCAAGGATCAGGATCGCACTGGTCGGACTGGTCCACTTCACCCTACGGGCGCCTCCACGTGACTGGCGCCCTGCCCTACGCCCCGCCGGCCCCTGCCGGCCCGACTTGGCAAACACCGGGCCCTCGGGCCACTGCGGCGGCGTCTCACAGTGGGCCAGAAGACCGGTGGCGGCGGCCAAAACTCGAGACGCGTTTTCGGCTCCAGAGTCGCTAAATGCGACTTGAACCGATCGTGTGACCCCAACAATGGATAGCTCTCCGAATGAGGAATCCATTGGTGGGGTCACACGTTCGGTTCGAGTCTCATTTAGGGACTCTGAAGCTCAAAACGCGTCTAGAGTTTTGGCCGCCTCCACCGGTCTTCTGGCCCACTGTGCGTCTACAGGCTCTCTCTCTCTCTCGCACTCATGGGGCGTCCCGAAGAGCAGTGAGAGAGACAGAAACGGCGTCTGGTCGCTGCTGCTCGCCGAACAGGCGGACGGCGGACGGAGGGGGTGAGGCGGGACTTCGCGAACGCACCCCGGTGCCGCCTAGTGCCGCCCGGTTGGCAGGGGGAGGAACACGGGGGCTTCCTGGCGAGACAAACCGCCAATAAAATACAGACCCTTCAACGCGCGCTGATTTCAAGGCGTACACCCGTGTCGACGAGACAATGACGTCACTCGATGCGAGCCAGAGTAACGTGGACCACCGAGGCACAGTGGGCCAGAAGACCGGAGGAGGCGGCCAAAACTCCAGACACGTTTTGAGCTCCAGAGTCGCTAAACAGGACTTGAACCGAACGTGTGACTCCACCAATGGATTCCTCGTTCGGAGAGCAATCCATTGGTGGGGTCGCATATGTTCAGTGCGTGTCCTGTTTCACGGCTCCCGAGCTCAAAACGCGCCTAGAGTTTCGGCCGCCTCCACCGGTCTTCTGGCCCACTGTGCGAGGAGAAGGAGGTCCGCCCACTCGAACCAAGTGTAGAGAACTCCACACTTCCTGGCGTGGAGTGCGGAGTTCTCCCCACTTGGTTTCACAGTGCCTCGAGGAGTCCCCCCATCATCTCGGCCGCCTCGTCCTCGTTGGTCTGCGGCTGGAGTTGGGCTCCCGTCATACAGTTTTGACGCGTTGATGTGACAAGCGTGACAGGCTGCTCGCGGCACGTCAGAGGGTCCCCTGTCACACGCGCCAAGCCCAGCCAGGCCGCGGAACGAGGCGAGCATCAAGGTTTCAAACACTGCTGGATTTTTCTTTGCAATAACTTGCAAGTTGCGGTTGCATCACAACGCACGACACCTGAATATAAAATGCGTTGACTCAAGTCTCAACCCCGTCGCACGAGTCGCACGGGCGTCCACGGCAGGTGTCCTCGTTGACAACATTTCTGCCATTTGGTTTTGCTTTGCTACTTTCCCCCGTCTGCTGACCCGAAGACCTGACAGGGTCTATTTGCGGCTCGTCTTTTCGTCGTGTAGTTCCCCTCTCGCCCTTTGAGATGGCAAGTCATTACAGCGCGGCCAGCTTCAGCGCACTTCAGTGCTTCAAGGGCGATTACTCTGCAAAAAAAAAAAAATCGACCAAATTTGCGAAAGTCGATGGGGGAGCGCCCTGCTCCATTCCACAGAGGACGATTAGGTGAATAAAGAAAAGGTCGAGTTGCTCAACATTTTACTTCCTGAGAAAACTATATCTAAGTCACATGCAAACTCCAAAGTAGAAAACATAACAGTCACTTTAATACAATTTTCTTCCTGAAGGAAAGTTTAATTCATTCAATTAAGCATGAACAAAAATCAGAACATGGAGGAGTTTTGAGGTAGTGAGGGAATAAACCACACTTTCAATCATAGAATGATTTTTTAAAACAAATCAAACCAGAATGAATGAACAAGGACAAGTGGTAATAAGCATTACAAAACTTCTGAATGATTTGTACAAGGTAAAAAGCTTTCTCTAGTAGTCCTGGTCCTCTGATACACAGCCAATTGTATGGTACATAAATATGGAAAATCATAAAATGGCTTCATGTTGCTGATGTGGATGGTTGGGCTGACACAGCTGAAGCTGATGATGCAGACTCAAATTGGGCCTTATTCTTCATTAAATAGGAGGCTAGGAAGCTTATAGGATCTGCTGGCCTGAAAATAAATGGAAATAGAATGTTTCACATAAACAGTAAAACCCTCCTGATTCAAATCAAATAAACCATAAGTTACTTACCTTTCTTTAGAGAGGGTAGTTAAGCCTCGAATTAAAATGGGCACAACTGTCTGGTCCAGGTACTGTCGAGTAGGCAGGGATGAGAGGTCAATGCGAGTTTTCTTTGGTGCTTCACCCATGTTAGAGTCCTCTGCCTCTGTTTTCTGGTAAATAATGAAGGTAAACAGAAAAAAAGGTAAGTTTACAGTTGAAATGAGTGAGTTGTCAGGGGAGGGATTGAAATGCAGTCACAAAAAGAAAACAGGTTTTGCCGTGAATATAAATTACATGGGTTCAAAATGTTTTAAATCCAAAACCAAAATTAGAAAAGCTGTATGCAAATATGAACGCACCACCACCTGCTTCAGGCAAAATTTAAATTGTTAACAAGGCACTGATGTACTGACATCTTAAATGTGAGATGTTTGGAAGTTAAAAAATTCAGAAGCAATAAATTCTGATCATAAAGAAATAGAGAAGAAATAAAGAAAGAAGAAGTTACCAGTTTCTGTGAAGTGTCTTCTTTTTCCTCCATCATTAAAAGCTAAAAAAAAGAACAAAGCAAGTTGAAAGTGATTTAAATTCACTGACAACACAAACTAGATAATACTCAATACCACAGCCATCAAGAATATTACCATCACCTAATCACTTGCGAGACATATGATAGAGACTACTTATATCAAGAGCGTTTACGTTGCCAAACGAATACAAACTGGTTCACTGCTTTTGGGCTCGTACAAGATTGCCTATCGGACTGAGATATTTAGCTGTTCATGCAAAGACGCAGAAAGCGATTACAAAAAGTATATGCAGAAAGCTACCAATGCCAAAGGCCAAAACCAATACAGACACCATAACCTTTCCCAAAATGACAGCTTTACATTATTTAAAAAACTTCTGATTAGTCTAATTACTGAGATCAAATATATAAAAATTAAGCTCCAACTTTCGGAGATTTATTTGAAATACCGCTAAATACTGATAAAGACTGACAATCGAAGAATGAGAATGCCATTGACTGTCTCAATGGTGACATGCTTAGTTTCTTTTGACAAACGTATCGCCACACGGAGACTTTCTATAATACATTTCACGTCAAAGTCGTGAATTAATACGTACGAGGTAGTACAGACGTGAGACTGTTACACCTTATTTCACTTTCGCCACAAAAGTTCGGCTTTTCAGGTATCCACAAACTTATTTCCAGTCCAGTCAAAAGCTGCGTTGTTGTGTTTTTGTTGTTTTTCTTGTTGTTTTTGTATGACAAATTAGAAGGTACAAACTACAAGTTTCTCATACCCAGCCGCCTACGGTAAATTTTTTGTTTTGTTTTGTTTGGGTTCTGCTGATTATGGCGTCCGCATCAAATCTCTCCTCAGACTACCTGTTGAATGTGTCAGCTCAATTCTGCTTTTTATGATTATTCTGATCCCACTGGTGAGATATCCCGTAGAAATTGATCCCACTTCAAAGTAACGTTCCATTTCTTTGATTGTTTGTGGCCTTAAACTCGGTGAATCCCTTTAGTTAACCTCAGACCTCAATCGAATTCCTCACATTCCAATGAGTCTGGATGTGGTTATTGTTGGTGGTGACATTATTTATCCAATGAATCGTGCCTTGTTTCTATTCTCGATTCGTATTTACAATTTTAGTTTTGGAACACCCTTTACTGTTTATATTGTTATACCCCAACAGATTGAAAGATTTGTGGAAAATCAAGCACAAAACTACTTTCTCACCATAGTATTCCATTGTATTTTTCAGGTAAAGGAAGTATTGTGCCATCCAGATGGGAGCTGACCATGAGTTCCTTCCACTATGTGATGTGCTATTTAACATTATCTCTCTTGCGGGCTACTTTTGCGATGTCGTGTTCGATCTCGTGATGAGCTATGCCCTTTACTGCCGAGGAGATATTCAGTGGTTTGCTTTGTCTTTGTCTTTCATTCTTGTTTCATTGCTTGCAAGTCAGGTGTGTGCAATTTTTCAATATTTCTGTTTGAAAGCATTTCTGTGTGCCACAATGGAGATATTTTTTATTTCTTTTCTTTTCTAGGTTGTGTCAGTGAGGTGGTACCTTCGTGCATCATGGCGAAATGGGATATTAGAGAAAGGCGATGTCAGCACATCGACTGCTGAGTCGGGCACTCTATCAGAGGGGAAAAGAATCATTAGATATTTGGTGATTACCCTTCATTTTCTACAATTTGGTGTGTTGTGGAGATATTTTAAACTTTTTATTCCAATTGACTTACGATTTGTCAAACATGAGGTAAGTTTCACTCTTTTTATTTTTGCATCTATAAAAATTTGGTTAGAAAATGTTTTATTTTCAAAAATGTGTTTCTGCAGGTTCGAGAGCTTTGCCTCTTACGACTTGTTCATGCCTTTGTGGAAGCTGCACCAATGCTTCTCCTCCAACTCTATTTACTGTGGCAGAGTGATCAGCCAAAAGAATTCTCAGACTTGAATATGGTCTCGACTGTTCTCTCATTATTTTCTGTCTGTTGGGCTCTTGCTTCTTTCAGCAAGAATGTCCGCCTGCATAATATCCACAGACTGGTGCTCACATGGCTTGGAGTTATTTTCCAATTTTTTTGGAGACTCGGCACAGTGTGGTCAAGAATGACAGCCCTTGCAATTTATGCCACTTTGTATGGCTACTGGGTTCTTGTAGTCATTGGGCTACATTGGATGTGTATGTTTTTGTGGCTCATTTCGCCAAAGCATGCTTTCTATGGTGAACAGCTGCCTAGAGTTCGTAAACTTGTATTCTCAGCCCTGGTTGGATTCATATATGTGTTTGCATTCATAAATTTGCAAGAGTCTAACCATCGACAAAAAATGGTTTGTATTGTTTGTGTTTTGCTTTAATTCTTTTCTTTATCCTCATGTGATCTTGTCTTGTTTTAATGTTTGTGCTTTTCTTTTTGTGTGGTTCTTTAGGCTATTTTCTACATCATCATGTTTCTTGAAAATTCTCTGCTCGTAGCTGTCTGGCTTGTGGGGATTTGGTCTGATCCTCCATGGTACAAAACAACAGTGCCTCTCTTAGTTTTTTCAACCTTTTTTGGTGGACTCTCTTTTATGGCCCTGTATTATCGGTATTTCCATGTACGGAGACTCAATTATGATGCTCCCAGTTATCACAATGGCACTGTTAAGTCTGGCACCATTGGATCTTCACAAGGAAAGGATATGGTAAGTTTTGACATGCACAACAGAAGACTGAGTCTGATGCAGGAAAGTTGACTTGGCTCTCTTATGTTTATCTTTTTTCCTTTCGAAGGATGGTTCTTCTACAAGATACTCTAGTGGTGGAAGTGGCCAAGTCAGTTCCTCAAATGAAAAGAAAAATCAATATTCAAGGAGACTCACTGGAGCCAGGGGACTTCCTATTCCAGGTAACTTTTTACTATGGCTGCATTTAACAATTAAATAAATTAAAACAACAATTCATGCAATTTTTTTTTCTTTTGTAAGGTGTTTTTAACTGTAGGTTTGCTAATGCATCTGCAAGTTCAGTCGCTGCAGCAGCATTGAAGAGGAAGAAAAAGAAGCCTACAACTTTTGTACCGCCTCCCTCTATTGGCTCTGTAAGTGGCAGGAGCAGAGAGGATGGGGAGGGAGGTGATGATGACCGTTGTTTATTACAGCCTGATGCTATACCTTTCTGGTGCAGACCTCTCTCTCGACAATATAACCAGCAGGTACAACTGGACTTCAGTAACTGTAAATGAAGGCTGTGCGCAGAAAGGAGTCTTCCAATCAACTTGGTTTCTAACAATATCTGTTACAGGGTGGCTCAAGTGAAAATGAAAGTAGCTGTGCTCGAGCAGATATCCAACAAAAGCTGCAAGAAAAGAAACAGAAACAGTTAGCAGAACTGAGAGTTATTGAGGAGGAAATTTTACAAGGGAAACTTCAACGCCGCGAAACCGCCGGGCCAACCCCGCAGCCGGTTCGCCAACCAGCTCCTTACACAAAACGTCATCGGGCGCACACCCCAGAAATACTGCTAGCTCCACGCTTTTTACATTTGTATAGGTCAGTATTGTCGCCATCAATGGAACAAAAAGCAAGAAAGTAATTGCTTCTGGTCTCCTTGTGTTCATGTGTGTTGTGTTCATTTTCTTAGGCTTCCTGAGGCTGTCAACTTAGGCAATGTTCCAAATAACAACCACAGCCATGTGGTGCTGGCTATGCCCTCTTCGCCCGACTGTGGAGACAGATGTGCCAGTCCCATCGACGGTTTACCTCAGAGAGTGCCGCCTCAAAGAGCTCCATCAGACATGGAGTCACAGATCTCCTTGCCTCGTTCATACACTCTACCCAGACAGTTTAAGTATTATCGGCAGGGCAAAACTCGAAAGACCTTGAGGTCAGATCATTTTGTTGCCTCAACTAATTCAAGTGATGGTAAGTTCACGATGATTTATTCACAAAAATGTGGCCTGACTTTACTCACTAAATCTGTTTAAATAACAAAACAAATCTGTTTTTCCTCTTTCCCTCTAGGTGATGTAGATTCCGGTGATGAAAATGACTCAGAGGATAGCTCTCCACAAGAGAATGAAACAATGCCACAGCGCCCTGTTCTACGCCTACGACCACCACCGTTTCCTTTACGAGGCTACCAAGGACCTGCTAAACATGAAACTAAGTTATGATACAATACAATGACAGCCAGCTTTTCAAACTATTGCCAATGTAATTTTTGTACTTATTATTTTTTTATCTTACTTGTACAGTATTGTATGGATTAGCTGCAGAAGATACAGAGGCATCATCTATTTTCTGTTACTACTATTTTTGCAGCTTTTAGGTTTTATATGTTCACATGACATATTTTTTTAATGTCTTAAGCTCATTAACAACATCTTATTACTTTAGACTAATGAAGCTTCTGGCTGTGATCTTTTAATATTTTTTATATAAGTATATACACTTTATATATTGTTTCAAAGTGAAGGTAACTTAAGTGCCAGAATGAAATGTTCTTAGATCTGATTCAAAGAGGGTGTTAGCTGTTCTCAGTTTCTCAAGAGAAGGGTGCAGACTGTTCTTTGTATTTTCTCAAATGTGCAAGACTGATGATGTTTTACTTTTACTCTTCTCCACTTAGTTCATCTTCATCATCAGAAGTGAGAGTGACCAAAAACCCTTAATTCACAGTGGTTATGGTTATGTATGAAGAGCTATTTTTCTATCATTGTTCATTTTCTGTTTTAATTTTAGCTTTTAGGTTAGAGAAAATTTTGTTTGCCATGGTTGTGAAAGTATACAACAAATATTTATTTTTTTAAACAACACAAAATAAAAACTATGTATGATAACAGTATTTGACTGAAGTATTTGATTGAAGTGCAGTACTGATCATTGGTTTCCAGTAGGGAAAATAACAGGCACACAATTGGTCTCATCAAGAACAATTTTAATTAACAACCTATGTTTTATGCCAAAATAACCTTAGCAGCTTTCAAGAAAGTAATTGATTAACATTAAGAAATAAGATCACAAGTGAAGATTACAAAATTTTCATGGTAGGAATATTTTTCTTATTATTAAGAAGTATTTTCTCCTGTCTCTTCTTCTCATCTTTAAATGCAGCAGTGTTGGCTTTTCTTTCACATATCCTTTCCTGTAAGCAAGTTTAAGGAAGATTAAGAAATGGTGATGTCGCACAGACACATTTCATTCTAATAGCAACGGCTTACCCTTCTGTATTCTCTCAACAATCTCTTCCTTGTTCTCCTTTCTTCAGGGGTTTCATCCTTGGGCCGGATTGACAGGGTTGATAATGTGGAGATCACTGTCTCAGCCCTGTCACTAGCCTGTGGTAGACTTCCTTGTTCAGCTTCAAGCTTAGCTAGAGCTTTCGGAGTGAGCTTTGTATTGCCAGAATCAAACACACCTAATGGCATGCCTGTTTTGCCAGATATGCGAATTTTTCCAGGGTTCTAAAAAACAAGTTATTAAGAGATGTGAGAACAGAACCTTGTTATTAATAACAGGGCTGAAATGAAATGATTTGCTGAAAAGTAATCTCACCGAACTTCTTTCTGATATTAATTTTGGTCTGTTGTAAATATTGGAGTAAGTTGATAATATGGATTGGCAATCCCACTTTTCCTCATCATTGTCATCTTTTACTTCCAAATCACAAAGATCATCTTCTGAATCTGAATCCAGTGCTGTTGGAATATTGGTTCTTTCATAATCCTTTGAAATTTGCTGGAGACAAATATAACATCATATATACAAAGTGACCACAAAAATAAAGAAGCATAATGAAGCAGAAAAATTTAAGTATGTACCTCTGATGGGTCTCTTTGATCAAATTCTGCAACACATTCTAAAAGGCGCTCTGAAGTAGCAGGAACAAAACCCTCTATTTCTTCACAGTCCAATGCTCCAATTTCATTGTCATCATACTCTTCAAACATCTGAAAAGCAACAAAAGCAAGGATTGAGAATATTATATAGCTTATTGACTAAGGTAGTGCCTTAAAATTTAGCAGAACATGTACCTTTTCAAATCGGTGATCTAAGAGAGACAGCTGCTGATTACGTCTCATAACAGAACTAGTCATGGAATACTCAGTAAACCGTGACTTTGTTTCTTCATCTTCGAACTGACACATTCTTCCGCCAAGTTTACCAACTTTGTCTCGAGATTCACTGCCAACCTCAGAACCATCATCCTCTTCCTCATCACCAAATTCACTACTAAAGAAAACAATAATTTTAAAACTACAGATTTAAGATCAGGATGACTTTTAGTTGGCGCACACATTAGCACCTTCTGCTTACCTCATATTGAAGTCACTGTTAACACTACCATCCTCCTCATCTCCAGAGGCATTTGCAAGTTCCATGAAGTTATCCTCCAATTCATTTTCTGGGTCATCGTAGTTGAAATCTTCATCCATAGCTGCCACAATGTCAGGATCGAGATCCAGACGCAATCCTGAAGATAAGAACAGAAAGTATTAGATGTCAAATTTGATGAAATGTTGCGTCTTAGAAAAAGACAAGAAATGCAGAAAGTACCCGATTGGGGAGCAGCTTTGTTGAGAAGACCAACATCCTCTTCAACTTCCGAGGCAAACACAGAGGAGGGAAGTGTCAGTTGTTTAGGTTTCTGCAAAACACAACATTATTGAGTGAGGAACAAATATTAATTACCAGTCAGAACAGACACAAAAATTTAGAAATAGGTTCCTTAACACACCTCTACAATGTAAACTTCCTCATCAGAGCTTTCACCGTCATCCTGGGACTTCCCCTGTTTCTTCAACACCCGAGCATTTGCGTTGTTCCCAGTGTCCACCGGAATCCACTGCACAGTTTGCTTCGAAGTATCACGAAGGTGTTGAAGGTAATCATAATCGTCGTCATAGAATATCCCAAACTTGTGCTCCTCCTCCGAGTTAGCTTTGCCCTACAGAAGAAAAAATGCAAATTATTGTAAAATCAAAGAGAGTGTGGTAAAAATTACATGAGAAACGGCAGGGGTGGATTTAAAGCGGGGCAACAGCCCCCCCCCTTTGGCCCCTGGAGAGCCACCTCAAAGGTAGGAAGAGGGCAACACTTTGCCTCTGTCAGTAGGCAAAAGGCACTACTGAGTCCCTCCCACAGGCCAATTCGCCAGATGCCAAAACATCTAAACCCACCTTCTTCTTGGCCTGCTGCGCCCCTGCAGCCACCAAGACATGTTGGGGCGCGGTCTCGTCCGCGACCAGCGGGTCCTGCTGACTGCGATGCACGAGGTGGAAGGTCACCGCGTTCTTCTTGTCGATAAACTTTTTCTTGCCCTTCGGCTGAGAGAAGAGAAATAGAAATGAGACGAAAACAACTGAGACTGCCAATCCCTAAGACAATCATAACCTTTCCAGTCATGCGACACTGACGTCTCGACGACCGGAGAGATGTAAACAAACACGCAAAGCTTACCATTGTGCAGATTTGTCAGTTTTAGATGGTTACAGACAATGTGAAAAGGGAAACTTGGAGAGAAAGGATGTTCGACAACACAATAACAGTAGTGCAGACGCGTGCACGTTCACCGCTTTCTTTCTTCTTACTTCCACTTCTTCTGCTTCTGCTAGCCCCTCTCTTTTCTCCCTCTAAAACTCAAAACTTACCTACTCCGTTACTGAAAAAGCATAGTGGGTCAACAATTTGCGTATCAATACAAAATAATAACAATTTTTTACAAACATTTACATCACTATGACTGATGTAAACGGATCAGCATCATATAAGGTTATGTTGTCAAGTTTTCGGGAGGGAAAGGGAATTTTTCTTTCTCGCGTTGGTAGTGATGTGGGAGAGGTTATTGTTTTCGTTACAGACATCTTGAGAGCAGACATACATACGACGAGCATATGAATACATATTTGTGATAACTTGGACTGGAATGCAATAATTAAGTGGAATATGAAGTGGTATAGCACCTCTTATTTGAAAGTTGTTCCATTGAATCGTATGCATTCAATCTATTGAGGTAGCCATATAAATATCTGTTCTCATTTTTTGTAGGCACTGGAAATATAGTTTGATTGCGATTCTCAGTTCTGTTTTACTTTTGTGCAGGTCTACGGCAAAATGAATTCTGTTGGAAAGATTATTTCGAAGACATTTGTTAGGAGCTTGGTTGGTGTCCCTTCAAGAATTTCTACTGTAACCACAGTTTCATGTGGAAAATGTCTCTTGTCAAATTCACCTACTGCCTCAGGCTTTACTTCTGATAACGATTCAATCGTCAATGTTCTAAAAGAATATGGTATTGGCAACAAGAAGATGTTTCAAAAAGTTGCTCAGATGCCAGTGCTGTCAAGTGGAGGGCCTGACACATGGAATGACCTTTTAAAAACCTTGGTACCGTTTGGCTTCAGTCCTGCTGCAGTTGTTGAGATGGCGTTAAAACACCCCAGACTTCTGAAAATGACTCCAGAAAAAATAACAAATAGGTGGTACAGCTGGGTGCAATGCTTTCACCAAAATAATCTGGTTGAAGAACTTTTGACCACATATCCCATGTTCTTTTCTCTAACCAATTTCGAAGTTCAACAAAGATGTGATCAGCTGCGTGCTGTTATAGGCTCAAATAAATTTGTGGCAATTTTGTTAATGAAATGTCCTCAAATAATGTACCAAAGTGTCGATGAATTAAAAAATGTGTCAGATTATATAAGTATCAAGATGGTAGTTAGAAATGCAGCAGAATATTACAAGTCAACAGCACTGGGATGCACTCTGGAGGAAGTAAAAACAAGGCATGTGTTTTTGGAGAGATGTGGGAAATACAAGACTCCAAACCTGAAGCAAAGTGACAAAGTTCCTACTACTAATCCCTCTTTGTCAGAAATTTATGATACGCCTGATGATGAGTTTGCCATCAAGATTGCAGGGGTAACACTTGAGGAATTTATTGTATTCCAAACCATGTTCGATGAAGAAATGAAACAAGCTAAAAGTGCGGATTCCAATTCTGACAGTGATGAGTCTGATGATGATTGATTTATAGCCTTATTTGAAAAATAAAAATACTTCCACTTCATAACTTAATCTGTATAAGGTTGATCCCATTTCTGAAAATAAATAAATAGATTTTGTAAATAAAGATTCATGTTTTCCCCAGTAAATAACTGTTTCTGCAGTAAAAACTGCTGCAAACCTCGACGTCTCTAGCTGGGTCGGATGAGCGCGTTGTTCATAGCTGCCGCTTCCCTCACAGTAATGACAACACTACTCGAATGGTGAACACAAGTAAACACGTAGAAAAGAAGGAATCACTCCATGTAGTTTGGATTCCTTTCTGTTGGTAAACTTTGCTTTTTCTCATGTGAAGTGAATCATACTCTATTTGTGTTGTAACTACCAACAAAACCTCAAGAATTTTTTGACAGTTTTACATTGGCCATGTTGCAGTCCTGCGTGTTGTGACTCATCTGTCGTCTGTCACTTTTCTACAAACACCACCACAGACCACAGTAAATGTTTTTATCTGTTCTTTTACGTTTCAGTCCAAAGAACCTCAAGAACTTTCAATTTGATTAAGAAATATTTAGCTGTGGAGCTACCATCCCGTTTTCACCCAAATACTTGTGCACTGTCACCCACTTCTGCAGTTTGGTTAGTTCTTTGCTTACATATCATCAGAACTAATGGCTTCAGGTAAGCTAAACCAGGTACCTTTGCATTAATCTTATTGTTCTCCTTATTTGAATATTTTTGTCAACAACCAGTTGCTACGACTCTTTCAGATGCTAACCGTCCTGAGTTGATTGAAGAAGTCAAGCTTTTCCGCAATGCTCGGGAAAGAGAAAAGTAAGATGTAGTTCAGTTGCGAATACTTGTCTGAATATCCATAACTCTAAACTGTGTTATCTTTCAGGTATGATAATATGGCGGATCTATTTGCGGTGGTGAACACGCTACAGCACCTGGAGAAGGCCTTCTTACGCGACTGCGTAACTCCTAAGGAATATACTGCGGCGTGCACAAAACTGCTTGTCCAGTACAAAGCAGCATTCAAACAAGTACATGGAGATGAGTTTCCCAATATAGAAGCGTTTGTCAAGAAATATAGGGTAAGCAGACCAATTCTTTGTCACAAAGCCTATTGATTCTGCATGTATCATTTATTGGTTGGTTTTACAGTTGGACTGTCCTGCGGCCTTGGAGCGCATCAAAGAGGATAGACCAATTACCATCAAGGATGACAAAGGCAATACAAGTAAATGTATTGCAGATATTGTATCGGTGAGTAATATTTGTTGGGACATGGATTATGTTTTGAAATTACGTTCTACTCATGCCATGTTATTTTTATTCTGTAGCTGTTCATAACTATTATGGACAAACTGAGGCTGGAAATCAAAGCTATGGACGAGCTTCAGCCAGATTTGCGAGATTTGATGGATACCATGAACAGGTTGAGTTCCCTTCCTTCCAGTTTTGAGGGAAAGCAGAAAGTTTCAAGTTGGCTTGACACATTATCAAATATGCAGGCGTCTGATGAACTTTCAGACACTCAAGTTCGACAGCTCATTTTTGATTTAGAATCATCTTACAATGCTTTTAATAGATTCTTGCATGAGTCTTCATAATACCATCTTTGCTCTATCTTCCTTCTAATTGTGTCTTATGCTCTCATTAATTATTTCATACGATTAGAGTAAACTATCCTCATATTATCCACATGATGGTCCCAACTCTGTTTCCTTTTGACGTAAGAGAATTCCCGTTATTTTTAGCTGTCAAAGGACTTAGGAGTCATACATGTATATTGGACTTTATTAGCTGTTTTACTTGTTAGTTAATTTTTATTTGACTTAAAATCATTCAGTTATGTTCCTTTAAATCATTGTTATGGAATATTTCAGTCTTTTCCTCTTTTTTCTACTGAACAATTTGTTTCCATGCCTCAAAGTGATTTAATGTCGATCTGTGATTCTAGATTGGATCTATATTCAGCTAGATGTAAAATATGTTGCCTTATGCTGTCAGGCCCAGGCCCAGTCATTTCCATAATATATTTTCACAAATTACAAGATGCTTGTTTGTTGTTATTTTTTTCAAGGCGAGGATTTGATCCTGGTAATGTTGACCTTGTGAGAAGGGGTGTGCTGTCTAAATATTTGGGCAACTACCTACAAGGCATCAGAGATAATTTGGCACATCCCTGGACAGAGAATGGGATAAAGACAACAAAACTAGCTTTTGAGCCAATGCTTTGTGGAGTTTATTTATCAATATGATTTATTTTTGGACAAAGTAGGACTGATTTAACTGTACAAGGTTTCAAAAACTTTCTGGAATACAGAAATAAATGAAAAACTGCAAGGGCTCATTAACATAGAATAGAATAACTTTTTAACATTTCAAGTCAACAACAAGTCCCAAGACAGGGATAATAAACTTATTAACAGACTTCATTCTTTTTCAAACTTCAATAAACCACTACAGATATACATTTAACTTATAATTTTTCACAAATGTGAAATGTAAGGTACTACACAATGTACACAACTGGGTAACTTTCTTGTACGAGACATACATACAATTGGAATCATAAACAATTTATGGGTAAACAATACATTAGCAAGAAGATTACAGCGCAGAACCCCAATAAACAATACCTCAAAAGGATTTGGCTCTCATAACATTCACAGTCATTTAGGACACTTATGTGGACATACAGTACATTTTAAACAAATGCATAGCTAAGCATCAAAGCTCAAACATGAGATTAGGGCTAATTAGCCCTAATCTCATGGCTCAAATATCACTGTAAACACAGTAAAGAAAAACTTAACTTCATTGCCAACGAACAAAAAATTAAGAAAAGAAAACTGTGTTTCCTGGCTTTTCTCACCTTTCTTCTTGAAGAAAAAATCTACTAATCTTAATGTTGTAGGAAAACAATGGGTCTCGTTAGAGTTCATGCAAATTTGAAATTTATAAAAAGTCAAGAAACTCTTGCATAGACCCTGCAGGTGCATGATAGTGGGAATGCAAGCTAGAAATTTGATACAATTTTTTCAATAACATCTTTGGTTTTAAGCATTCTACCTTGCAGTGTATGGGGCTGCAGGGGTCCTTGCTGCTGTCAATTAGAACAGAAAAGCAGCAGATGCTGAAGCTTGCAACTTACAAGGAGAAAATGTACAGCTTTTTTCCAAAGCATAGAAGATGACTTACACACTAATGAACAAACATAAATGAGAAACCAAAATGAATAGATGGAGAACATGCAAATCACAAATAAAAGGAAACAAAAGTATCATCACCAATTTATATCAAAATGAGCCTACGTAGAACTAGTAGACCAATTGCCATCACTACTATCATTATAATAAGACTCCTGTGTTGGTCCAAAATACTAATGTTGGCAGTATGAGCAGGGGCTTGAAAATTCCCTGAATTGACAGAGGTGCTTGCTCCATCCAAAACATTAGCTCCAGCAGTCTCCAGAGGCGAGTGCAGTGCAGATGCTCTTTGTCTCAGAGAAGGCAGGGAAGTGTCCTCTGGGACAGTCGTTTCACCTTCAGTCTCTCCACTATTATTTGGTTCCTGCACTTCCTCTGCCTGAATCATACAGTAAAAATGATACCATCAATTTCTGAGAAAAAGTAATTGAATGTTCACTATTGAAAGAGGTTTTACCTTGAATGCAACACAATCTATCAAAGATTTCTCCTCCTCCGTGGCAGGTTTAGACACTCCTGTGGCAAGCTCATCTGTAATTTTTCCACATTCTGGGCAAACGTAAGACTGAGACCTGAACAGATGCACAAAATTAGTGGTTCTAGCAGGTGATTAAAAACGGCCACTATTGCAAAACTACATACTTGGCTGCTAGTTTCTTCCTCTCTTCTGGTGTGAAATCAAGGGAACCAATCGTTCCTATACCAGGGGTTGGCATAAATGCGATTAGAGCCAATAGGGCTGTTCTTATCGACCATGATGGTTGCCATGTTTCTGGGTGGTGCCCAGATATGCTCAAGCAAATTTTCTTATTCACTTCAAACCGACCATTGGGCTGAAAAAAGAGATGATTCAATAATGGTAGTCAATTGGCCAGCAAATCTAAAGCAAACGCAGAAAAAGTTTCCTTGAAACAGTGTTAAGTACCGTAAGCAGAATGATGTTGGGTGGTTTCATTGGGTACTCGGCGGGAAGAAGAATGCGGCCATGGTACACACCCTCAGCAAAGTCAGAGTCAGGAGGACCTCTGATTGTAAAATGCCATTCAAACAGGTTTTCGTCCAATGGATGGGCAGAATAATCTTCCGTAGCTTCCTGCAGTTCTGTGGCTTCTCGCATAAGTCTTTTCACAGCTGGAAAGTTCAAAATAAAAACAGGTAATAGTCTGACTTGAAATCACTAGAACAAACAAATAAAACTAGAGAAAATAAACTTATTAAACTTAAAGCAGAAAGAGAAGAATTTGTTAAATTGCACTTACAGGTGCTTTTAGTGTTATATTTCCCTTGATATTGGTCCATTATAATGAATTATCAATGGAGATTCCAGAGTCACTTGCTAAGCATTTAACTTGTCGAATCAGAGAAACCCACGTCAACTTCAAAACAAAATTCACAACTGAAAACTTTGTCTGCAGCTTTACCCTTATTTGCAGGTTCAGTCTGTCTGCTGCAGGTTTGGTTTCGGCGTTGTTACTACTGAAACTTACTACTCGGGTAGCAAAACAAAATTCATGAAACTTTCATTCCCGAAAACAGACTATTGCGTAAAGGGTATCCTGTTTAATATGAACTTATTGCGTGCTTCGGAGGAAACATTTAGTTGAAAATTTTAACTATTTTCCGTTGGCAATACACCATACCCTCTTGCTTCTGCACATAGAGCAACCGGTCGTTATATGCAGCCCAATAGCGGCAATTTCAAATGCCTTCAGCGCCAGCCCACTCCCCGAACCCTGCAAGTACCCCGTGGTTGCGTTCAGCAAGAGTTCGAGACGACCAGCCCTAAACGCAGCGCCGCATGAACATTTGCGAACCTGTGCGTAGCGCATTCGTGCGATGGCCGGCCGTAATTTTCCTGCTGTATGTGTATGCACGTTAAACACGTGTAAATACCTCCCTCGCCTATTCGCACTTTGTTTACGGGCAGCAGCAGACAGCAGAAAACACGAGCATTGAACAGGTTAGCATTTGCAAGAAATACCTAAAGTTTCTTTGAGTTGGCTGTTGCAAATGGCATTTATCCCTTCTTTCACGTAACAGTATTTGACGACAAGACACTGCTTTTCTAAAAGAGAATGCTGCGCCCCGTCACTGAGCGAACTTGCCGCGGTTGGTGCTCCACACTTGCTTTGAGGCAATCCTTTTCAACCGTAAGTGGGAAGGGGGAAGAGTAATCCCTCTTCATTGTCTACTTCCATTTCACATCAACCAGTTCTAATTTCACTTTCCGTTTCGTTTTCAGTCCAACCATGTCGTGCTCAACATGTACAGACCCAAAGTTCAGGATACGAAGGCAAGAAATTCATCAAAGCCTCGGAAAGTCAACCTCAGCAGCAAGTTAAGGAGTGAATTTGCGAAATACAAGGGAAAGGTGAGCAGATAAATCTGCATGATACTGTCTCTGTTTCCCTCAAGTGAAACATATTATTTACCTGTTTTATTTCCTATGTGTAGAACCAATAATATTATGTAAGAGGATGGAGTTTAATTTCTATGAAGGAATGAAGTATGGCAAATTTGAAAAGATCCCCCTGGCCTCCCAGGGTTGGCTGAATCGAGGCTCTAACGGGGACTTTTTTTCGCTCTATGAGGTTTGTAATCACCCCTTAGATTAGTGTGTTATCTTGTAGTCTAAACACACAAGTCCAGACATAGAATCTTCCATTTTCCAAACCTGATGCAAATTTTATGGTAACACATTTTCTCAATTTCTAACATTTGCAGGGATACATGTCTCCAAATGATGCCCATTTTGGTCATGTCCGGCTTCCATCTTCTATATCTGACATTCTCTCTTCTCCGGATGACAAAAGCAGTGTTTCAGGATTTTCACTTCTCAAAATTGAAGAAGATTTAGTCCAAAAATTAAATAAAATGAATATTACAAGGCCTGCAGATATCCAGGTATGTTTGTTCAAAGCACCTCGTTTAAAAAGAAACACTGTATGCTCACAGCAGCTTTACACCATGTTTCCAACAGATTGCAGCTATGCCACACATCCTTGCTGGCAAGAACTGTGTGGTGTCAGCACATACAGGATGTGGAAAAACCTTAGCCTACCTCTTACCACTTCTTCAAATGGTTTCAAAAAATGTTCAGAAGGAGGGTGGGGTAGGAGTTCCACATGACTCTCCCAAACTACTGATTGTAACTCCGAGTCGAGAATTGGCCTATCAGATTCATGTAAGATGTAATTTTATTTATTGTTCTAAAGATGACTTTGTCCTAAGGTTTGGTTCTGAACTTGTTTAATTTATTTTAGGATGTCATCCAAAAGCTTGTTGTGGGTTTGCCCCTGACCTCCAAATTATTTGTTGGTGGGTATAGTGACCAAGGTAGTGATGATTTACCACAGATTGTGGATATTGTTGTGGGAAGCTTGGGTACTATCAAGAAGAAGATAGCAAAAGGTACGTGACAAATATTTGGTGTGGCAGATTTTTGTCTCTTTAAATGTCAGCAATAAAGTTTTACTTTGTGCTTTATCTACTTTAGGAAACATTAATTTGCAAAGAATCCAGCACATTGTCATGGATGAAGCAGATCAATTAGTTGATGATCAGAACCGTGGTCAAATTAGAGGCATTCTCAAGAAAGTCTCTGTGAGTAACTAGAAAGCAATGTGATTTTATCAGCAAGGTTCTCTTTTATTTGAATCAAAACTAATTCTAAACTTAATACTGTCTAGATCAAGCAGGTCTCTGATGACGGCAGTGACTCAGAACATGATGACCAAGGAACTCAATTAATTCTCGTAAGCGCAACAATCCCTACCAACTTGGAGGATCTATTTGACAACATGGTTGATGTAAGTGTAATCATGAAACAAACCCTCTCTTTTCTCTTAAAAAAAAAAAATATACTTTTCTACTTTAATTTTCCCCAGTACTAAGTCCAGCTCCAAACATTAATAAATCTTGTTTTTTGCAGGTTGGATCTTTGGAGAGAATCACTACGTCATACATACACGATGTGATGAGGAACACACCACAATTGTTCCTTAAAGTTGGCAAAATACACAAAGGAAAAACCTTAATAGATTTAATAGAAAAGGATGTCAAGCATAACAATCCAGTTCTTATATTCAGGTTTGTATCTTGTCTTCCCAACATTTTTCAGTCAGTGCTTCAATAACTACCTTTTTTTTTGGGGGGGGGGGGGGGAGAGAGCTGATTTTGGGCAGAATGCTGTAATACCAAACGTATTTTTGTCTTTCAGCAATACTGTAAAAACAGCAGACTGGGTGTCATATCAACTGAATGATTGTGGATACCCTTGTAAAAATTTGACCAGCAGTGTAGACACTCAAATTAGGCAACATTTATTTGAAAGATTTCAACAAAAGAAGTTTAACATCCTCTCAACAACTCCTATAGTTGCTAGAGGTCTTGATACTGTGAGGGTGAGTGCAAGATTTTTTTCAGTCTCTTTCAATTTTTGAGATGGTTAAAGAAAATAATCACATTGTACTGGTATGTGTCACATGTTTTTTTTTTCTTTTACAGGTTAAGCATATTATTAACTTCGATTTTCCTCTGTATGTATCCGAGTACATTCATCAGATTGGTCGAGTTGGAAGAATTGGGAGCTCTGGATCATGTCACATCACAAACATAATAGCTCATCCAAGAGAGGTTGCTCTTGTCCAGAAAATTGAGGTATTTTGATTTCCCTTTTGTGCCTTGTTCTAATGTTGCAATGGATTGATTTTTACATGTATTTTATACACTGATTCTCGTCTTTTGATATATTTTCAGAAATCAATCCGACTCAATGAGAAACTTACTGCTGTTAATGCAAATATTCCTGGTATTGTGAGACATCGTAGGGAAAAATTAGAAGGAGTAGAAATGTAAGTTACATATTAAGCCATAGTGTACAGTTTCATAATTCTGTTACCATTTCCTAAAATTTTTAATAAAATTTGTATACTACTAACAAGTTATTTTTGTAGTTCTGAAGGCGGTAGCTCTGAAGTTACTGATTTATTAAACTTTACTCCATCCCCAAAATACACAAAGCCATGTTCTGGGGTTCGTAAGCGATGGTATACAGTGAAACCAAGCCACTCTAAATTTAGTACAATGCACACACTGCCCTGTGAACGTACTCGGAAACTCCATTTATCTGAAAGAACCATAGAGAGGCTCAGTAGGCTGCTAAGATTCTTCCACATTATCAAGTTGAACCTTACTTACCATTGAGTTCACTGGTGCTACTGTCTAGAAAGTCTCCTGAGCTTCTAGTGGCAGATTGCCCTTTTCGTCGAGTGTGTCTCCACCATGTACCATCTGATCCCTGAGGCATATTGAAATTAGTAAATAGTGGTTTCAAGTAAATACTTTATTCTAGATTTTTAAATTACTTCTTTTGGAGGCTTGTGTTCATAATTAACCAAGCCCTTTTTTTAATTTTAAAAAATCTACCTGTTGAAGGCTGAGCCCCTGAAATGTTGGGTTAATCTCTATCAGTCCTTCAATATTTAGAAAGAATGCACCTTTGGGTGCAATAGCACAGTCATCATGAAGGCTGTAAACGACAGCTGCCAATCGGTCTTCTTCCTTCAGAAGACACTCTCGTCCCTATTAGAACAACAGAGACAGGCTGATTTAGGATTCCCCACGAAGAAAATATTTTTTTATTAAGATGCTTACAGGTACTCCAAAGGTATCACCGGCATCTCTCCAGTCCACCACATGGCTGGGATCGCCGGTGAATCTCTGGGACACCCTCGGAGTCAACTTCAGGGCACATGGAGACGGCTCACTCAAAACGAACCAATCGCACTGGTTGGTGCTGCAAATGATGACAACAAAACCGTGCAAAGCCATAAACTGCACTTTGTCTTTGTCAAAGCACAGACTGAATCAAGGTACCTGTAAAAGAACGATCGTCCACCGATGGCATCAGACCTGTACCCAAACGACACGTAATAATCCTTCTCTAGGCCAAAGATTTTTCCGAAAAAATAAATGTCCTTGAAGTGGTTCTCCCCTTGCAAAACCAACAATGCGTTCTTCACGACGTACGCCTCTTCGGCGCTCAGCGTGTGCCCCGCCACGCTGGTGATGTCCAGGGCGTGCGACAGGTGGAGCACGTTCATCTCAAGTTGTCGTAGTCAGTGGCAGGCTGCGCCGGGACCGGGGTGAAGCAAAAAAGCTTTAGACGCGACTTCGACAAGTCTTGCCTTCCCTGCGCCACGCCGCCACGCTTCGAACGATGGCCGCCAAGCAGTTCCTGGTTCCGCCGCGTGGCGCTGGCGGCGCGACGCCAGTCGCTTGTTTGGGTCACGTGACGTGTCGTGACGTCACATCACATGTAGTAGTTTTTTTGACCAGTGCCATTGCTTTCGTCCGCAAGAGAAGTGCTCGACCGTTGGATCTGGATGTGTTGGAGTGAAATTTACAGAAATCGCGTGAGAGACTCGTGCTGCTCGGATGGTGTTGGCGTCCCCGTGAAAGTGTGCGGGCCAAGAAAATGAAGATGTGGATGTAACGGATCGGAAGGTACGAAGTTTGCTCGGGTCGAGTGGAAAATAGAGACGAGGAATGGTCGACCCCCACCAAGATGGATTATCTAACATGGACTTGGATTACCACTGGCGTTTTGATGGCTGTGCGATCGTTGTGGCGTTTCGTTCAGAGTTTCCCGTTCAATGGGGAGTCGGCGAAGTTTCGAGAGGGAACTGGGGTTGCACAAGTTGCAGACATTGTCGAGCCGTGTTGGGGCTGTGAGTCTGAGTGGAAATCAAAACAAACTCGAGGTTTGTGGTCCGCATTTGCTCTTCACGCGAGTGCTGTCCGGGCCTTCATTATGAATAAAGTCTAAGGACAGCCACAAAACAGATGTTAGCAACGGTGCTTGTTTCAAGTCATAAAGCATGCTGTGAAACTTCCTCCTATGGGTTCTTGCTCCCAGTCTGTGTACAAGTATTTAGAAGGAGCAAGAATTTTAGAGCCAATGTTCGTTTCTCACTGCCCAGTCTTTCGACTCTTATCCTAGTGTCAAGTCGCGTGTTGTTATTAGGTTTTGAAGCTGGATCTTGAGTTTGTCATCCTTGGTCAAACAATGAGAATGAGGTTATGTAGCTCTTTCATGTGGAACACTGGTTTTTAGGTCAATCACTTGAGTGACTATTAGGCCACTGCTGAGACTTTCTCGTCCTCGCTTATTTGAATTTCTAATTTTTTCTCCCAATATCTTTACTGTTGTCTTTTTTCTAAAATCATGAAATTTATAATTTTGCATAAATGTTGTCACCAGCTTGGAAGGTTGATTGTTTTCTTATGTTGAATTCTTCTCATCGATAGAAGTTTCATTCACCCATTCATTCAATTCTTATTGATGTTGATGCCATGTCCATAGTTTCAAAGTTGATATGATTAATGTGTCCTCCTCCTTCATTTTTTCTTTCAATTGTTGCCCTTCCCTTGTACAGTTAATTTTTATTTGGTGAATTAATAGTTATTTTTATTGCAGGGCATAGGTGTGGTACAGAGATCTTTGTGGAGTACCTCTCCCAACCACCAAGGTATGTTTCTAGATTATCTGTTTGATTTTGTGAATTGGTTTCAATGCTTGTTTTCATTCATTAACAGTTCAATGGATTAGATGATTTTAAAAATAAATTTGTTTCATGGTTTTTGATTATTTCCATCGGGACAAGGAAATATTTTGCTTAATATTATTGTTTTGCATTAGGGGTCAAGTCATCCCCCACATCTAGAAGGGTCTTGTTTATATTTAGAATCAGCTTGAATCCTGCTCCACTGCCAAGAGCACCAGAGGCAGTGAGCTCTGTCTTTGTTTGTAGCTTCAATCAGCTGGTTTAGCTTTCTGAGCAAATGTCAAGCCACCATTTTTGCTTCCCGTAAATTAATGTAAATTCCTCCAAGGCTTAAAACTTTTTGAACAAAACTTTTTTTTTTCATGCGGGAGTTGATTGTTTTCATTTAACGCTAGTCAGCGGTAAATGTTTGGTTTGTGCTCTGGTTTGTAAATGCTGGACTTGGTCTCTTTGTCAGATGGCGGAGGTAGACCCAGAGCTTCTGCTGGAATGGCTCAACATGGGGCAGGGCGATGAGCGGGACATGCAGCTCATCGCTCTGGAGCAGCTCTGCATGCTGCTGCTCATGTCGGACAATGTCGACCGCTGCTTTGAAAGGTGAGTGAGGATGTCAATGTTTCCGTCCAAGTGTCATCAGACACATCGCATCGCTGGCTTTCTGCCCAGCCCACAGGGATCCAATTGTGGCGACTGGTTTTGAGATAAGGCTGTGATATCAATGATGGTGGCAAAGGTGATGGGACTTGTCGTGGAGGAGCTGGCACTGGGGCGCTGTATGTGGAAGTGGTGGCGAGTTGGGAAGCGCGTGCGCCCTGGCAGTGGCCTGGCAGTGGCGGGGCTGTGCCCAAGTCTGCAAGTCTGCAGCTAGGCCAACCTTGGCGGCGTTTGCCTCGCTTGCCGAGTCTCCCCGTCTCTGGCGGCCGCTGGCGGCGCTCCAATGGACGCGATGCACGTCGCGCTCGTGGACGGACGGCCCGCCTGCCTTTGGCCTGCGTCGCCCCGTCTCTCTCGCACCCCCGCGGTCCTACGGGACGCCCAGGCGACGCCCCGTGAGTGCGACAGAGACGGAGCGACGGAACGGAACGACTGCTGCCTCTGCCAGCGCACCGCCCCGCCCCGTGCCTCACCGTGAGGTCCTCTCCGTGCCCCGCGGAGCGCGCTCTGTTGCTGTACGTTCCGCGGCGGAACTGTCTTGCGAGGCGTCTGTCTGTCTGTCTGCCTGCCTGTCTGTCCGTCAGTTAGTCCGTCGGTCGAAACCGTGGCGTGTGCAACCGGTGGACGGCGTCCAGGTGCAGGGGGGCGTGGGTTCGAATCCCCGTTACCGATTCTTTTCCACTTCCCGCGATCCTTCCGGGCCTGGCTTGGCTTTGCTTCGCTGCGCCGCGCGCCCACTGACTCATCGCCGAACCTTATCTCCGGGGCTAACGCCTGGCCAACGCGTTGACGCGCACCGCTTGCGTCGCGTTGTTGATCGAAGCCCCACCGATTCCACGACCATTTCGTCTTCTTTTTCCACTCTTTGCTCAAGGAAAGAGCGGAGGGACCGTTCTGAAAACCGCGTCGACCAACAGAGGGCCATGTTCCTCTGGTCCGGTGTTGCGCGTGGGCGGGGGAAGTCCGCATGCCTCCCCTCCCCCTCCCCTCCTGATTCGATGGAACTTTGGTCGATTTTCCGTTCATTTCCGTGCGTGGCTCGTCGATTCCAGAAGGCGCCTACACCGTGGTGCGTCAAACTCGCCTGAAGTGAGCCCGAAACTCGGCCGGCGCTCGCCGCTTTTCGGACGCGATTCGGGCTAAGAGGCGATGATCGCCGCGATGATCGCCGCGATGATCGCTGCCCCCACCCCCCTCGCTTGCTTCCTCGTGTTGGCGTCCTTCCTTATATAGAGCGCGCCGCGCGCCGGCTGCAGTGGGCTGCTGCCGGACTGCGTCGCCGCGTCTCTCTCGCACTCGCGGCCCGTCGCGTACCCGTAGGGGGCACCGCCGGGCCCGGGCCGGGGCGTGCGGCCGGCACGGCGCACGGTGGATTTGCCAGAAGACCGGCGGAGGCGGCCAAAACTCCAGACGCGTTTTGAGCTCCAGAGTCGCTAAACAGGCCTCGACCAAAACGTGTGACCCCTCCAATGGATTCATCGTTCGGAGAGCAATCCATTGGTGGGGTCACACGCTCGGTTCGAGTGCCATTTAGTGACTCTGGAAGTCAAAACGTGTCCGGGATTTTGACCGCCTCGGCCGGTCTTCTGGCCCACTGTGCGACGGCTGCCCTCGTGTTCCGCGTCTTATCTCACCCGACATTGACAGTGAACCGGAGTGGCCAGAGAAACGTCGAGTCGGAGGTGGCAAAGCCCTTTGATTTCCGTGTAAACTTTATTTGGGAAAAATATTTTTTGGCGAGGTAGTGCTTGCCTGCTTCCGGTTCCGCTGGCTGCGGCTGGCTGCGTCGCCGGAGTGATTCGGATCGACGTGTCGATCGATTACTCGATGGCGGGCTCCAGCCGCGCTGTTGTCAGCCGCCTGAATGCGCGACGCGACGCGGGCGTGGCCTGGCGTGGCGCTCCTAGCGCTTCTATCGCTCTATCCGCCCTCGTCGGCAATCGATGACTGTATCGCCGGCGAGCGAGCGCGAGAGGATAGAGCGACGGGGATAGAGGAGCCAGCCCGATAACGAACGAGCCAGGATCCGACGCCACCTGCAGACTGATTCCGAGAGTCGCTTTCGTCGCTCTGTCCCTCTCGCGCCCACAGGGGACGCGCCGTGAGTGCGAGAGAGACGGGACGACTCGCCGAATCAGTCGCTGCTGGTGATGGAAATGAAGCGGAGAGATGGTCGCGGAATCAAAGTCTGTGTTCGAGCGAAAACAAGTGACTGTATTTGTTCTGTTTGGGACAGTCTTGTTTACAACGGATAGAGACGAGCCTGCCGAATCTGCGACGCGGTCGCCGAAATGCACCGAATCCGGATATAACTGACGCAGTTGCCGTCGCACAGTGGTCCAGAAGACTGGTGGAGGCGGCCAAAATTCTAGACGCGTTTCGAGTTCCAGGTCGCTAAACAGGACTCGAACCGAACGGGATTCCTCGTTCGGAGAGCTATCCATTGGTGGGGTCACACGTTCGGTTCGAGTCGTGTCTAGCGACTCTGGAGCTCGGGATTTCGACCGCCTCCACCGGTCTTCTGGCCCACTGTGCGTTCGCTGGCCGTCGCGCGACGTGAGGGCGTCGAGTATTTCAGGCGCGTTGCTCCGCGCTCTGCCCGCCGCTTCTTGATTTATGCGGTCAAAATGTCAGATTCCCCCGCGCTCTCCTCTCTCTCTCTCTCTCTCTCTCTCTCTCTCTCTCTCTCTCTCTCTCTCTCTCTCTCTCTCTCTCTCTCTCTCTCTCTCTCTCTCTCTCTCTCTCTCTCTCTTTCGCACTCGCGCGGCGGAGACGGAGCGACGACAGCGCCGTTCGGAGACGGCTTGCTGACCTCGGCGTCGTTCGTCGCGGTACCGGGGCACAGCGGCTGGGCGCCGTGGCAGACTGATTCCGAGCTCTCCTTTGGTCGATCTGTCTCTCTCGCACTCGCGGCGCCTGGCGGGGCCTGGCTGGCCGGCAGGTGGCGATGACCCGCAGCCTTGAGGCGCCGGGGCCGCCACTGCCAAAAGCGCCATAAGCGCCCAAAGCGGGGCGGCGAGGGGAGGGGGGCGATTTGCGCGAGCAGGAAGCGCAGGCTGCGCGGTGCACGCGTTATTTCGGCCGCGGTGGCCGCGGTGCATCTCGGGGGGGGGGGGGGGGGGGGGACTCAAGGGCGTGACTGTGTGTTGGCTCGCACGTCCACGTGGTGACCACGTGCTTGCCACTTTGGGTGCCACACACACACACGCGCGCGGCCCACGCGTTGATTGGGATGCCAGCCTTTGTTCTGATCTCGTTGTCGGCCCGTCCGCCTGCCGCGCTGCCGCCGTGTGTTCGCGGTCTGTTTGTGTGCGAGTGAGTGTGTATGTGTACTCCGTACCTGCACCGTGCGCGGGTGGGGGAGGTGAAGTGGGTTGCTGCGTGGGTTGTGTGGGTGGAGGTGCTGGACCGGACCTCGGCTCGGGATTTTTAAAAAAATTGAAGTTTGAAAAGTCCTCTCTTTTAGGCAGGGTCCCCGCGTTGCTTCAGTTTTGCAGTCCCTTCCTGCTCGAAGTGCACCAGCAGCGAGCAGCATCTCCTTTAGTGCGGTTTACTGGAGCTTCATTCAGTGTCCTGCCTGTTCCGCTCCCCCGCCCGATTTTCTTTTTTTTTTTTTAGCGCTCCGCGTTGTCGTCTTGTCTCTACCTACTCCCCCACCCCGCCACGCCCCACCACGCCACGCCCCGCCGTGACGCCGCCGGGGCCCAACAGAACCGCGGGCGGACATTTCAGCGGCAGGGCGTAAAGCATTCATTGACCTTTGCGCTTCCCCGCTCTCTTGGCGTGCTCCGCCAGCCCCGCCGGCCCCGTCGGCTCCCAGACCAGGAGTACAGTCCACTGCAAGAGGCGACGCGCCCGTGTTTGTGTTTTATCCCGGCCCTGCCCGGCCCGCGCGGGCTTTATGGGCCGTACTTACTCTCGGTCGGTGGAACAGTGTGCCGTTATGCACGCGGCCGCACAGAGGATGGAGGCGGTCAAAATCCCAGACGCGTTTTGAGCGGCAGAGTCGCTAAATGGGACTCGAACCGAACGTTGTGACCCCACCAATGGATTGCTCTCTGAACGAGGAATCTTTTGGTGGGGTCACACGTTCGGTACGAGCCTATAGAGCGACTGTGGAGCTCGAAACGCGTCTAGAGTGTTGGCCGCCTCCACCGGGCTACTGGCAAAGCCACTGTGGGGCGCCGCAGCGCAAATGGCTCGATTCTGAATTTGGTTTCCAGTGTAGTACCCCCGCCAAGTTTACGCGTGCATTGTTTACACTCTCGGAAGGCTAATTTGGCCCCATCAGTCCGCCGCGGCAACGAATCCGCCCTAATTTATTTACGGTCTTTTAAATGTTTGAATGAATCTTTGGGGCTCTTTTTCGGGAGGGTCGGCTGGGCGGACACCGTATTTTATGTACGACCTTTTAAATGTTTTAATGACTCTTGGGGGCCCTTTTTTGGGGAGGGTTGGGGGACACCGCGCCCCGTGCGCTTCATACCCCACCGAGGCGGGAGGTGGCTGCTCAGGGAATCGATCACGGTTCGAAGGAGGAGCAAAGTGGACGCGTCTAACAGGATTTGAACCCGCGCCCGCGGAGGCATTGATTATTTGGGCGTGCTTAGCGCCGCCTGCCGCGACCCTGTCGTGACCCTAGCGCCCCTTATCTGAGTCACCTTTGTGTATCCTTGGCGCTGCTGTGGTTGGTGGTTTTTCGGGGGAGGGGGCGTTGGCGGCGTGCAGCCTAGCCTGGCTGGCCCGGCCGCCGTCGACCGGCGGTGTTCCCAGGCGTGCACAAGCAGTGCTCCACCACGCACGTTGCGTCACCGGTTGGCACTCCTGCCCGGCCAGACGGCCAGGCCGCTTGGCTGAAGGCCTAGAGCCCGCGGTCCGCGGACTGCGGCGCAGCCAGCCAGCTAGGGGGCTCCCAGCTGTAAGGTGGGCCGGGCTCAGCTGGC